GTTCAGCAGGGCTCAGTCTCCCAGGAAATACCAGCAAACTTACCAAGCTGACCGTGCCATGTGCCAGCCAGCCGTTCTTGCCTCGCCGCACAGGACTCCCCCACAGGGAACGGCACACTCTCTTGTTCGCCCAGCCCCACATCTCTCGTCCTCCTCCCTGCAGGCGAGCGGAAGGGGAGAGCCTGGCAGCTTCTAACACACTCAGTTGGAGAGCAGCCAGAGGCTGAGCTTGAGGGGTACCTCTCCCAGCCCCTCTTTCCTGAAGAGGGCGAGGGGGAGTGGAGGAGGAATTTTCAAGCCCTCAGTGAAGAGTTGATGATACTCTTTCGAGATCAGAAGGAGATTTGCAGATCAGAGAGGGCAGTGTTTCAAAGTTGTCAACATGAGGAGAATCCTTTATACACTTCCCAGTTGGCTCCTTTCAGTCCTTTAAGTAACGTCATCAGATGTCAGGTATGTGAATCTGTTTAATGAAAAAATACTCCCAAGAGAAAAGTGAGTGGGTATGGCAATGTTAAAGTGACAAACTCTTTTTACTCCCTGAAATAACCCCAAATATAGTTATTGCTTAGGCTTAGGGCTTTCCATTTTGGCAAGAGAGTACTTTTAACGGACCACATGAGGAGATGTAGCTTTTTGGTATTTAAATGTAGACAAAGAGTAAAAGCCTAGTCTCTTGCTTGGGGTGACTGTCGAGGGCGGATGTGAGGTATTTTGGCCCTGGGGACCTTTCCACAGCGACCCCTTCCCCGCATACAGGCCCCCAGGATAAGACTTCTTCACCCAAGTGTGGGGCCTGTGGAGTAACAGAGTGGCACATTCCGAGTCCCCTCGAAGAGCCAAGCCCCTTGCGGGGCCAGCGCCCCGGAGAGGCGGGGGGCTTTCCTTCAGAGCTCTCCGGCGGAGGCGGCCACGGCGGGCAGCAGCGCCGAGAACGGGACAGCGCCGGCGACGGTGCGCTGCCTGGACTCCCAGCTGAGGGAGGGCCTTCTTAGCTTTTCTGCCAGGAGGAGCCCTTGTGCCTTCCTGGGCCAGAGTCCTCTGGGCACGAGGACCTTGTCAGAGTCACTGTGGGTGTCCTGGGGCCCGGCACATAGCTGGTGCTTCCTAAGGGCCTATTAAGCACATGACTTAAAACAGTACACAGCTGGCTGGTTTTCCAGTATTTTCCTACCGTTTCTGCCTTAGGAGTGGGACTACCCATTGTGGCAAAGTCCTTATCCCTTAGGAAACAATTGCAACAAGTATATTCCTAGTGTGAAAGAAAAGTTTGCGCTCTCTCCTGTGGTTAATGCCCACCCCGCCTTCTTTTTATCTCCGTCTTTCACCTTTCTCTGCTGCCGCTGTGAGCTTCTGTGTTCTTTCTTCACGGCTGTCCCGCTGTCTGGTGAGAGACAGCCTCTTTCCTGCCGCAAAGCGGCCCACCCGGACGCCCCCTGGTCACTAGGTCGCTTTTCTTCCGACTCCTGGCCGTGACTCCCAGTATTTATCGCTGGCTTCCTTCCTCTCTAGTCTCTTGGCCTTTGGGGGTTTCCTCTGCAGTCTTTAAATACGTCTGCATTTCTCTATTATCTGAGTGACCTGGATCCTCTCCAACTACTGCCTTCTCTCTCCTGTTGACATTCAAAAGTTTCTTGAAAGAATAATTTATCCTTGGAGTCTTGGCAAATCCTCACTTTTCATTCACGTTGCAACTTGTGGTTATTTTCCTAAACTGCTCAGGTAAAGAGCATACCTACATTTCCCTAAAACTAGATCCATTGGGCATTTTCCTTTTTCTTTTTTTATGATCTCCCTGAATCATGTGGTAGCGCAGGTAATTTCTTCTTCCAACTCCTAAGTCTCTCAGTTTCCCACCGCTGAGCACGCCTCCTCTCTGCGTTCTGTAGGTTTCCGTTTCTCCTGCTTGCCCTTTGAGCAGGTGTCCCCAGGTTCTCCCGACCCAGGCCTCCGTCCTCTTCTGTCCCACTCTGCGCTTACATGCTGCTGGGAGGTTGAGGATTCCCAAGCCTTCACCTGCAACTGAGCTCAGACCCTGTGCGCTCTGTACACAGTCAGCGTCTCCCCGGGGCACAAAACTCAACTCAGAGGCTTAACCCGTGACCTCCTTCGCACACAGACACATGCCTCCTCCTGGGGGCTTTATCCCAGCAAGTGATTGCACTGTCTGCTCTGTCGTGTAAATCAGAGACCCTGGGATTTACCCAAGACTGTTTTCTTCCCTTTTCCCCACCTCTAGAGCTCGCTGACACAGACTGCTCGTTCCGGCAAAGACCCTGGGACAAGCCCAGAAAGCCAAGCAGTAATTGTGGTGCAGGGTCCAGTTTCGCTTTTTGCCTGAGCGTTCCCAGAGAAGCTGGAGTCATGGTGGTGCTATCACGCCCGTAGCAACAACTAATGTCCACTCGGTGCTTTGCAGCCAGAGAGTGTCCGATGAGGAAAATGAAGTACTGGGAAGTTATGACTTGGTAGAGGCAGCTAATGTAGCCCATCAGTGGTAAAACAGGGCTCGGGACCACATTTCTCCTGGCTCCTGCGGTCTGTGTGTTACACGCTGTTTTAGGTGCTTCCATCCGCAGATGATGTAAAGAACTGCAGACTCCCCCTTCAGGGGGCAGCCCCGCCACTGTGTCTGCATTCTCTTACCAACAAAGGGCTCATTTAATGAACTGCTCCTTATTTCATCATTCCACGTGAATTGCTAATTGTGAGCAAGGCAGACTGCACCCCTGTCTTCTGGAAACTTTGAGTCTTCGGTCAGGTAGAGAGAAGTCAATGGTCAGAGAGAAATGTTTTATTTTGGGGGTGGGGTATTTATTTTTAGAGAAGGGGGAACTGAGGGAGAACGAGAGGGAGAGAAATGTCTATGTGCGAGCAATACATCGATCAGTTGCCTGTCACACACCCCCAGCTGGGGACCTGGCCTTCCACCCAGGCTTGCGCCCTCACTGGGAATTGAACCAGTGACCTTTTGGTTCATAGGCTGGTGCTCAATCCACTGAGCCACACCAGCCAAGGCGAGAAATGTTTTTGATGTGTAGGAAATGGAACAAATGTGTGCTTAGTTACGATTTAAATGTTGCATGCGATTCAGTCATTCACTAGTCATCGTTGAACCGCCTCTCTGCTGGGTACTGTATGACTTGTCATGGTCCTTGTTCTCAGGGGGTCACAGGCGAGTGGGGGGAGGCAGGTGTTGATCAGACCCACGTACAAAAGTGTGAGAACCACAACCCAGGTGTGCCGGAGACCGTGCTGGGGAGCTACAAAGGCCCTGCAGTAGCCAGATCCCTAGTTTACTCCTGCGTGAACTGGGAAGCTGCTCTCTGCTTGGCCTCTTTCTTTTCATTTTTAAAGTGGCCAAGGTTGGAGCCGTTGGCTTCTTAGTTTCTTCAGGCTTATCACATCTTTGAGCTATGATTTAACAAAGGCACTTTGAACAAGTCAGGAGGCAGAGCAGAAAGTATCATTGTTTTGTATGACCTGGTTATTGAGTAATAACACTAAGTGTTCCATTTATTATCTCTGTGAACAGCAAGTCCAGGCTCAAAATGTCCATAGTGACCATCTACTGAGAAAAAGTACACTTTTTTTTTTAAAGCTTTTATTTATTTCTAGAGAGGAAGAGAGGGAGAAAGAGAAGGAGAAACATCAATGTGTGGTTGCCTCTCGTGTGCCTGCAGCCCAGGCACGTGCCCTGACTGGGGATCAAACTGGCGACCCTTTGGTTCGCAGGCCAGTGCTCAGTCCACTGAGCCACACCAGCCAGGGCGGCACACTCTTACTTTATCACAGCAGTATTTGGTGGACTGTCTTGCAAGCTTTAGATTATTCTGACATTTGAGAGATTAGCTCCTCTTTGTTTTGTGATTTTAAAATGTCACCCAGTCCCCTTGTCCCTAGTACTTATATTTGGTGTGTAAAATGAGAAAAATAATCTGAAACTTTTTTTATTAAAGGTTTTATTTATTTATTTTTAGAGGGAGGGGAAGGGAGGGAGAAAGAGGGAGAGAAACATCAATGTGTGGTTGCTTCGTGTGTGTCTCCTACTGGGGACCTGACCTGCATCCCAGGCATGTGCCCTGACTGGGAATTGAACCAGTGACCCTTGGGTTCTCAGGTCAGCACTCAGTTCACTGAACCACACCACCCAAGGTCCAAACTTTTTCATAAACTCACAGAGGTACTGATTCAGCAAGGAGGCTGAGTTTATCTCTTGAGAACCTGCTACGTGCACAACACTGTGAGGTAGCATACAGATGGCAGTGAGAAGTGGTCGCTGCTCTCAAGGAATCAGTGGTCAAACACAAGGGGTGAGCGCGTCTGCACACCCAGCTGTCATAGGCGCCGTGATGGAAGTTTAAGGAGGTTTGCAGGTACAAATGTAAGCTCTGTTGGCTGGTGGGAGGGGAACCGGGCTGGGGGTGGTCAGCAGCACTGTGTGGGGAAAAGAGTGTTAGGGTTAGGGGCAGAAGGCCTGAATGTTCCAAATCTTGGAACAATATAGTGTAAGCTGTGTGACCTTGACTTCTGTGAGCCCGGGTCGCCGCACCTGCATGCAGGAAAGAACACCTCGCGGGGTCGGTGTGAGTGGAATCGCGCAGTGCGTGTGCCTGGCACAGTCCGGTGTCTGGGCCATCGGGGCGAGGTCATCAAGGTCATGTTCCTGAGTAAAGTGGATGTTCGGCCACTTGCAAAAGATATTGACGTTAGATCTCAGATTAAACCCAAACAGGGGTCAGCAACCTTTCAAAGGTAGTGTGCCCACTGGGTAGTCCATGCTGTCCTGGCCGATGAGGCGTCTGTAGTAGCCTCTTACGTGCGAAGGCAGCTGTGGTGGCGGAGGGTGTGGCAGGAAGCCTGTGGCCCGAGGACCCCTCACCTTGGCTGGGGCGGCAGGAGTGGCCTGAGCGTTCCTGCTCACCTGCGCCCTCAGGAGGGGGAGAGCGGCAGAGGTATGTCTTAATTCTGACCTTTTTCCCTTTCCTCCCTTTTACCAGATTTTATCATGTGGGCAACCTGCTGCAACTGGTTCTGCCTGGATGGACAGCCTGAGGAGGCCCCGCCATCCCAGGGAGCCAGGGCGCAGGCCTATTCCAACCCTGGGTACAGCTCCTTCCCTTCTCCCACAGGCTCAGAACCCAGCTGCAAGGCCTGTGGGGCCCACTTCGCAAACATGGCCAGGAAGGTAAGTGCTGGCTCTGTCGGCTGCAGGCGCAGGCCCTCGAGCCCCTCGCCAACCTCCCTGTCCACCTCCTGCCTTGCCTTTGCCTGCGCAATGCCCGTAATCCAGGCCCATTCCTTTCGCTAATGTAATAAAGGAAAGACTAATCAAGCAAAATCAAAGCATCGCAGCACAGATTTGGAGCTGGCTACACCTGAGTTTGGGTATCCGCTTTGCCACTTCCAAACTGTATGATGTAACCTTCCTTGAGATCCGTTTCCCCAGTTGTGACACGGGGATGCGGCAGTTGGGCCCATCTCACAGCGCTGTGAGGGCAGAGAGAGGCGAGCTCCCAAGGCGTCTGGTGCCACGCCTGCAGTGTGGCGGGTGCCCTGTCGTAAGGAGCCGCACTGCAGGTTAATTTGTTTGTTTTATTGGGAGCAGTGAGAGACGACGTCTCAGGCACATCAGGACCCTAACCACACAGACTGGGGCTCATGCACTGTGGCAGTTTCATTTGAAGCGCGTGGTGGCCTTGCTCTGTCAGTCAGTGAGCGGGAAGGAAGCTTACTGGTGGGGTGATGGTGTGTGGGAGTCGCCCCGCCCCACCCCGCCCCGTGGGCTCCCCGAGGCAGCGTGTCCGAGGTCAGACCCTGCCAGAGCTGGCGGTGAACTCTGACCTGGAAGAAAGACTCCCGCACCCTGCCCTCCTCTGTAGAATGAGAGGTTTGCAGCTCAGAATGCGATGTTAAAATGGTGATAAGGGGAAATTGGAGAGAAAAAAAGTCATTTTTTAGCATCTGCTCTATGCCAGGGACTGTTGTAACCAATTTAGGTTTGTTTCATTTAATCCTCACAGTTACTTTGTGATGTAGATTTTAATCCCTGGACTTCCATTTTATGAGAAACTAAGGCTTAGAGTTTAACAGTTAAAAGGAAACTGTAAGTGTTAAATTCCTGACAGATATCATAAGCGACATTAAAGCACTCATTCTCTTTCCTGTCCTTAGATAGCACATCAAGATCACGTAGTTATTAAATGGCAGAGTCAGGATTCAAACCCAGATCTCTGAGTCTCAAGCTGTCTCCCAGAAGGCACTCACCATGTCAGAATTTCTGCAGCTTGAAGTGTTGACCTGACCACCCTTTCTATCTGGAAGGTGATGGAGGATCGATTGGCCTTTTACCCCCTAGGTTGTCTTTTGCTACACTTCACTGTCGTGCAGCAGAGGCGGGCACATGGCAGAGCTTTGCTGTCATTTGCTCGGCTACCCCGGCACTGAGAGGACCCAGCCGGAGCGGCTGCGGTGGGCAGTCAGGGAGCGGCGGCTCGGGGGCTGGGGCGCCCCACCTTTTACAGTGCGATGGAAAGGGCGTCAGGAAAGGGCGTCAGCAGTCGGTGGGTGGAGGCTGGCGTGGGGAGCCGAAGGGGCTGGGTGGGCCTCGGTCTTCTCGGGGATGGGGGCAGCGGGTGGCGTTCGGGCCTGCGGTGAACTGGAAGGAGGGCTGTGGGCCCTTGTCGCGTGCCTTGCGCTGAGTTGGGCGTTTCAGGTGCCTAATCGTCATTCAGTCCTTACAACGGCCCTTGAAATCTGGACTGTTACTTGTTCCCGTTGTACAGATGAAGAAATTGTTCTCTTTATCTAAGGTAGTAGTTTCAAGAACTCCTCAAGCACGTCAAGAGTCAGTTGGATGGCCAGAGATCTTGATGTTTTCAGTTACAGTGAGAAACGTCAGGAGCAACTGCTGAGAGAAGCGGCGAAGGAATAGGCAGGGAGGAATGGGGAACACCCTTGTTTAAATGAGCAGCATGAATTTGTAACAGGCTTATTTGAGCCTTATTTTTCTGAATATCTTGGTACATAACTTTTTATTGTTGTTCAACAATTTCAAACATTGTTACAGTTATCTAAGTTTACAACTTCCAGAGTCAAATTGTTAACAAAGTTGCAAACAGTACGACCCCCTTTCTCATTTTGCTCTCCTCAGAAGTGACTCCTTACAGTTCTTTTGGCTGGATCTTTTGGTAGTTGCCTCCACATGACTGATATATATGTGCGTACTTATAGTTGGCCCTTGAACAGCGGGGGGCTGGCAGCACCGACCCCCCACCCCCGCACAGTCACAAATCCACGTATATCTTGTGACTTCCCCAAAAATGTAACCGTAGTTTCTTAGTATCTGCAGGTGACTGTGACCCCGCCTCTCCCCACACCCCCTTAAAAAAATGCCAGTTACGCCCTGAGGAGTGGCCATGGAGAGAGAAGGAGCAAAGAGGGCAGGGATGGGGATCCAGGCTCGGGGACTGCCATGCGACGCATGTGGAAAACTTGGGGAACAAGCGGATCTAGTGAGTTCTTGACATTTCCCAGCTGGAGGAGAAAACAGGGATGAGTGAGGAGACCTCCCCTAGAGAGAGGAGAATGACGGTCAGGTGAGGAACTCGTTTTTCTCTATGGTTGCTGTCGCCCGCCACAGCTACGTTTGTGGATTGCCTGTCTTCTCAGATGGTACATGGGAACAGCGATTTGGTCAATCTTGTTCATAGCTTCTTACCCCCGGTGTTTAGAACAGGGACCAACACATAGCAGTAAGTAGGCAATAAAAATTTTTAAATGAATGAGTGGACAGTAGAGTTGAGAACAATTTGAAAAAGAGGCATTAGACCAGAGAGTGTCTGTTTCTTGGTGGCTGACAATTGTGTGCCAAAGATTTTCTTTTCTTTTTTAAAGATTTTATTTATTTATTTTTAGAGAGGGGAAGGGAGGGAGAAAGAGAGGGAGAGAAACATCAGTGTGTGGTTGCATCTTGCTCACCCCCTCCTGGGGACCTGACCTGCAACCCAGGCATGTGCCCTGACTGGGAATCGAACTGGTGACCCTTTGGTTAGCAGGGTTGCACTCAGTCCACTGAACCACACTAGTCAGGGCTGAAGATTTTCAGTGTGGGCCCAACCCTGCACCGGCAGCCTGCAGTGGCTAGTGGTTCTAACTTTGTGGGGGTAGAGCTGAGGAAAACCTAGGCCTTTTCCTCGGCATGCATACTGTCTGGCTAAGGAGGCCTACATTTGCAAAGAACGGCTAAGAGTCAGCTAAGTTAAATAGCAGGGCATCAGGCATTGCTGGTGAATTGGTCATTCTAGCTGATAATTCTAAGACGGTTAGTTGAATTGCAAAGCAGTGGCTGAAGTGAAGGCACCAGATGTGGGGCAAGCGCAAGGCATATTTGGGAGCTGTGAGTGACCTAGCTGACCAGAGCGCAGGGCACTTGGGAAGTTAGGGTAGAATGGAGTTGGGGTCATGTGGTGCGGGACCATGACTGCCCAAGTAACACGCTTGAAGCCACCAGACAGCAAGGAACCATCAGAAGGATGTTAAACAAAGGAATGACCTCATCAGCCTGTTTCAGGCGGTAGATGTGGCCTCTTTCAGGGTAGGAGTAGCACTTGGGAGGCTCCTGCACACTTGGCGCAGGTGAGAAGCTGTTGGAGCCTGGTCCAAGGCGGTGCCTGACACCGGCTGGTCCAGCTGCCCTTTAGTGAGCAGCTCTCTGTGAGGTTGTGGTCGTTAACCCATTTTACAGATGAAAAATCAGAGACTAAGAGACATTCAGTTCCTTGGCTACTAAAGTGGAGTGTGTGTAGCATATGAAGACAGATGAAATGTAGAGCGAGAAGGTCAAATTGAAGATGACAGGAAATTGTCCTGGGTGTCTAGGAGCACGGTGAATGATGAAAATAAGGAACTTCCTCCTATCTTCTGGAAAATAAATCATCGAACAGCTACGGTGTGTCAGGCGTTGCCTGGGCTAGGGCGGCAGAGATGAAGACAGCCATCCCTGCCTAACCGAGCTCGCAGTCTGTTGAGAAGGTGGGGGCAGACACACAGCTCCGCAGAGAGAGAAGGAGAAGGCTTCGCTGGCAAGGGGAGCGCTTGTGGAGGGGAGCCAAGTCCCTGTTCAGATGTTAAAGGATGGTTATTGGTACAATATTTTCTTGCTACGAAAGTAAAATAATTTTGTGTAATTCACAGTGAATTTTCATGACTATTAAGGATGTTTCCTGCCACTAGAATTTTTCACTTGTAATTTCAGGCTTAGGTAGATCGGCATTCTTATCGGAAGAGCTTGGCATTTGACAGCCACAGGCTTTCTAAATGGCTTTTCTGAAAGTGCTTGGATTGAAATGATTGCATGGCTCCTTCTGCCTTTTTTTATTCTCTTCATTGTGGTTAGTATTTTATGAATGCTCATTTGTTACGAAGCACAGACAACATTCAGGACTGTACAGAGAGAACATAAGAAAGATGTGATTCCTGCCTTCCTAGAGCTTCCGGTCTTCCGGAGAAATGGCAGGCTGTGCTTGCTGCAAGCCAGATATCCCACTTGTACTGGTAACACCTACCTGCGGTCCAACGCAGCCCTGACGACGTGTAGGAGTTTGGCATTCGGTCTCTTGAGTTGGACCAGCTGGAGGAGGAGGAGGCGTTTGTGTTTGGAAACATGGAAGAGGTAACCCATATCTAGGGACTGGCAAAAGCTCAGAGACGAGACAAAGGGGAAAGAGAATAAAAGATGGCTGTGTCACCTATTTGTGAGTGTACTGCCTTAGCTAAGGTTTAAGGTACATTATCTCATGTGATACTTCCAGTGGTCCCTAGGCCGACTGACCGTCTGACTTTACAGGTGGGGGATCTGTGGCCCTGGTAGGCTATCTGTTTTGTACAAGCTCCCTTAGCTAGGATGGGGCCAGCCAGAACTTACCATACATTGCTGTGTATAACGCACACCCACATTTTTGCGCACATTATACACGGGATTATTATACCCATTATTATACCATGTAATCATTATACCCATGTATAATGTGTATCCTTCTTTTCCCCTCAGAAATGTGGGCAAAAAAGTGCACATTATACACAGCAAAATACGGTAATCCTGATGGTGTCGTCCCCCTCCCTTTGCCTCCCGGTGGGCTGCGGAAGGCAAGCCTATAGCAAGGTGGCGAGAAAGAGGGGCTGGGGGAGCGGAGAAAGTGGGCCTCCCCTGTGCCAGGAAGCGGGTGGGGCGGGGCTAGGAATAAGGACAGGTGGATTGGGAAGGAGAGCAGCTGCCCGCGGGAGCTGACAGCCCACTTTTTTGCTGCAAGGTGCTTGTGTGTACTCTTGGCATTTACGCAGGCACGTTGGTCCTGCTAATTCATCGTGCATGCTACCTGGTTCAGTTGGTTTGCACCATTTGCTAGAATTTATACACGCAGGATTCCTTTGCTCATTCTGCCCACATTTGTTGTGTGTTGTTTGTTAATAGCTGGTTTTCCTTTTCCTTTGTTCTCTCCTGCCTCTGCACACGGGGGCTTAGCCTCAAGCACTGTCTTTCTTCTTTAGAACGTGTTTCAGATGCAGGCCGACTTCAGAGCCCCTGTTAGGGGGCAGGTGGGCGTGGAAACTGGGCTGCTGACTTTGCATTCTGATCTTGCACCCAGTAAACCACACACATTTGAAGAAAGAATGGAGCGCTGTCGATCTGGCTGACTGAGCGACTCAGAGCTGTTTCATCACGTCAAGCTAGGTCTTGTCAAACTGCATTGACTTAAGTAATGGTCCATGTCAGGACCGACAGCGTTTCGACATTGAAGCCTCTTCATTTCACTATCGGTCATCCTCAACACATTTTATTTTCCAATAGAAAAGCTGCAGATCTGAGTGAACCCCCAAACCCCCAAACATCCATTTTCCACCTGAGTGGCTGTTGGTCCCAGAGCTGTTACAATGCTAGTGCAGTCGTGTATCCTTTGAAGACAGTCCCCAAATGTTTTTATCGTATGGCTATAACTGGGAGGAGAATAAGGGAGCTTGAGGTGTGTCCTTTCGCCATGCCTTCTAAGTATTTATAGTCAACACCGGGTGGTAAAAATTATGCCCGTGTCCCTTTACTATGTGAATGACCCTTAGACAAAACTAAGTATAACTGTCTCGGCTATGCAGAGTTGGACGTCAGCGCCACACAAGTGTCTGTGACTTTGACTGCAAGAACCTGATTCTCTCGGATGTTGTTGTTGGCTTGAATAGATTTCTATACTTAGAAATGAGGGAGCAAAAATAACTTAGGTTAATAACTTAAGCCACCGTAGGACAAACAGTTTATCTCTCTGAACAATGAGTGAGTGCGCCCCCCAGGACCATCCCAGTGTGCCCAGGCATTACCTCTCCCATGGGCGTGAGACTTGCTCTTGGCGGTGGCAGAGCTCAGTCGGATGTCACCGCGCTTGCTCGGCCCACAGGGCAAGAGGCTGAGGATCGCCTCCTGTGAGTTGAGCAAGGCATTGTGTGTGTGGCTCGGTGGGTTGGGCATCGTTGTCCCGCAAACCAAAAGGTCACCAGTTCGATTCAGGTCTGGGCACATGCCTGGGTTGTGGGCCAGGTCCCCAGCTGGGGGGTGTGTGAGAGGCAACTGATAGAAGTTTCTATCTCACATCGATGTGTCTCTCCCTCTCCTTCTCCCTCTACTCCTCTCTCTCCTCCCCTCTCCTCTCTCTAAAAATAAATAAATCTTTAAAAAAAAAAAAGACATCATGCATTGTGCTGTCTGCGATTGTGGAGTCGCTGCTGCCTGGCAGTGCCAGCTTGCCTGCCCAGGCCCTCTTGTTGCCCTTCGGAGACTCTCCGTACTTTCACAAACAAGAGCTCCCGAAGTCAGGGTCTGAGGGCCTCCTACAGCCATCTGAATGTTTTTCTCGGACGTGCTCTTCTGCACACTGAACTCCCAGCACTCGGAGGGGGCTTTCCTGGGGTGGGGCGCAGGTGCCAGGCCCTGGGCTCAGCGCTGGGGCCTTGTGGAAAGAGCACGGTTGTGGGTGTTAAACTCCTCAGACAGACCTTGAGCGTGAACCCGGGCGCTGCTGTTTGCTGCCTGCCCGTGAGTATGATATTCATACCCCTAGGCCTTAGTTTCTCTATGAACCTGGGAGGTAAGAAAATACCTACTTCGCGGCGTTGCTTTGAGAATTAAATGACATGCTAGGTCCTGGCTGGTGTGGCTCAGTGGATTGAGTGTTGGCCTGCAAACCTAAAGGTTGCTGGTTCACTTCCCCGTCAGAGCACATGCCTGGGTTGTGGGCCAGGACCCCAGCTGACGGTGTGTGAGAGGCAACTGAGCCATGTTTCCCTTGTGCACTGATGCTTCTCTCCCTTACACCCTCCCTTCCCCTCTCTCTAAAAATAAATAAGTAAAATTAAAAAAAATGACAAGCTAGGTATTGCTTTAGTACATAGTGGCCCCTCAATAAATTTAATTAATAATACTAACAACAATCAGCAGCACAGCCTTTATGCATTGCTTTATTATTTCAGCAATAAAGTACAGAGAATTAGGGTTCTGGTTTGAATCCTGCCTCTCATCATTAGCTCGTATTTGCTAGCAACAATAATGAAAAGTTACACTTACTGTGGACGCTCGCGTCAGATATGCCGAATGTATTATCTCTTAACATTACAGCAATCCTATGAGGTAGATGCTATTGTCACCCCCATTTTACATATGGGGAAACTGGAGGCTGTTACACACCCAAGGTGACACCACAAGAAATGGAGGAGGGAGACAATAAAGCTGTAGGGATTTTTTATTCTAAATCAGGTAGTCTTAGTTAATAGCCTCTATTTCTCTATCAGTAAAATAAATAAAGCCTCACATGGGATAATAAATGTCCTGTCCTGTCCATGGATACACAGATGCGTACAGAGGTCCTGCCACCTCTGGGTGAAACCTGTGAGTCCTCTAGCATCCCTGGGCATGGGACAGCTTAGTTAGAGAGCGACCAACGCCCTCGCGCGGCTTGGCAGCCGTAGGCTCCCAAGCGCCCTCCGGCTTGTGCGCACAATCTGACATGGTTTCCTCTGCCTCTTGCTCCAAGCAGCAGACCTGCCTGGACTGTAAGAAAAACTTCTGCGTGACCTGCTCGAGCCAAGTGGGGAATGGGCCCCGCCTCTGCCTTCTTTGCCAACGATTCCAAGCAACAGCCTTTCAGCGGGAGGAGCTCATGAAGATGAAGGTGAAGGACCTGAGGGACTATCTCAACCTCCATGACATCTCGACCGAAATGTGCCGGGAAAAAGAGGAGCTGGTGCTCTTGGTGCTCGGCCAGCAGCCCGGAATCTCCCAGGAGGGCAGGACTCGCACCCCCGCCTTTTCCTCGGGCCCCCCCGAGCAGCAGGCCTTCCTGAGCCAGCCCCACTCCAGCACAGCGCCGCCTACCTCATCCAGCCTCCCTGCTCCACCCTCACAAGCCGCTTCTGCTCCCTCAGCCCAGGCTCAGGAAAGTCAGCAGGTACAGCGCTTTTGCAGTCTGCCGATTTTGGGGCTCGTTTCCCCCCCACTGCATTGTGGGAGTGGGCTGGGCGTGCGAGCGTCTTCATCACGTGGAGCCCTTCTGCCTACCGATGCATGGGTGGTGTTCCCTTCACATCACACTCAGGTTTTGGCTTTTTTCAGAGATGGTAGTGCTTGGTGCCAGGGGTTTTTTGTGCTTTTTTTTTAATCCTCAACTGAGGATATGTTTATTGATTTTAGAGAGAGAGAGACGGGGGAGGACAGGGGGAGAGACAGAGACAGAGACATATCCATGTGAGAGACAAACATTGATCTGTTGCCTCCTGTATGTGCCCCGACTGGGCCTTGAACCCACAACCTTTTTTGGTGCATAGGACAACGCTCTAACCAACTGAGCCACCGGCCAGGCTGTGTTTTTGTTTTGTACATACATATCCCAGTTAGACATTTAAACAGTTTCATTGCTCCAGAAATATTTTTTAAATGATTTTATTTGTTTATTTCTAGAGAGAGGGGGAGGGAGGGAGAGAAACACTGATGTGAGAGAGAAACATCAGTGGGTTGCCTCTTGCACATGCCCTGACTTGGGACTGAACCTGCAACCCAGGTGTATGCTCTGACCGGGAATCGAACCGGCGACCTGTGCTGTGGGATGACACTCAGCTGAGCCACGCTGGTCAGGGCCCAGAAATATTTTTTAGAACCCTCAGTTAACTCTTCCAAATTTGGTTCTCTTCACGTTGCCCTCCCACTTGCTCACCTTCGTCGAGGTCTTTCTTAGCTGGATAGGGAGCTCAGTTCCTTAGTAACCATCCCAAGGCTCATGGGACAAAAGGAACATGTAGAGGGAAGGGAGAGTAGGGGAACAGTGACCAAGACAAGGACGCTGCGTCGCCTCTTGCCAGACGCTGCTCGGGCAGGGGCGGGGCTGGCCCGGCACTGAGCAGTAAGCTGCCTTCCCGTTGTCCCGGTGGGGCCTGGAGGCGGCGAGCCGAGGGCCACACGCTGACTGAACGCTGGACCAGGCACGGGGAGCACAGAATGAGAGCGACACGGCCTCTGTCCTCGGAAAGCCAGGGGGAGGGGGGACATGCGGACTAGCGGTCGGCTGAGGGCGAGGCCAGTCGACCCGAGCGTGGTGTAAGGAGAGACGGCATCCTGTGGGTGTGCGTACGTGCCTCAGCGGGGGCTTAGGACCTAGGAGACCCACCCGGTTTCCACATTCAGTTTGTCACTGGCTCTTCGGTCGCCCGGGGTGAACTTTGAGCCTTCCGCAGTGGAGTGAGGTTAGGAATCCCAGGCTACGCGCGCGTATTCGCCAGGATGTTGGGAGGCTTGACTAGCGTGATGTCAGGTCCAAAGAGCTTTGAGCTGGTTGGAGCTGGCACATGTCGTGCTCCCGCTGCCGGTTCCCACACAGAGGCGACGTTGCTCCTCCTGCTGATGGTCACCCCCTTGCCAAGACTGGGCCCCCGACTCAGCCCTGATGGGCTCTGAGGCCTAAAGGCCCCTGTACTGGCCAACTTTACCTGCAGGAAACGCGTTTACTCCCTCGTTGGCCCGAACATGCTCTCCCCCGACCTAGAGCTGAGCTGTTTGTTGAGCTCTGTTTCTGTCTGCTGCACAGTTTTACCTCCTGCTGCACGGCCTCCCTTTGCTTGGTTGGGCACTCCTCTCTGCTTATGAGGACCTCGGAGGCTAACTTGAGGAAATTGCTTTTCCCTGAAGAACCTTCAGGTGGGTTTTTCCATGAAAGGAGTAGGTTTTAAGCTTCCTGTCATTAACCAGAAATTTTCAGACTGCACCTACAGGTCACAGTACGCTGCAGATCTAATTGGGTAACTTCTCTGATCGCTGATGTTTTCAAAGGGTCCTCAGATCAGCTCACATTCCTTGTTCTGGTGAGACTTCTTTTTTGCAAGCCAGAAACACAGACACGGGGGAAGTTAATTAGGTAACTTGTGCAAAGCCACCCGCCAGTTCTGCAGGTGAGTGAACCACACCTAGAATGCGAATCTTCTCATAGTGCTGGCCCTACCAGGGTTCTTTCCTTTACCTTTAATGCCCTGGTTGCTGGGGAAGGAAGTTTGGGGAACAAGCAAAACTCTGGACAGATACTACTTGTAGATTTTGAGTTAGCCAGTGGGTGAAAGACAACATGCTTTGCAGCATGAGACCCAGTTTCCCTTTGTAAGAAAAAAGGGACACACAGAAGGTATCTATTTAGGAACAGGTTAGGCTCTGAAAGACTTCGTAATTCCAAGTCTGTACACATCTGCATAAGGCTAGGGGAAAACTAGAGGTGTTCATAAAGGTGTTATTTTGGGTGCCTCCCCGTACCTGTTGTGCTTATACAGGTGATCTCATTCTCACTTGGCATTTTTGGGGGTGGTGGCTCTTTCTGCTTTCCATTCCTGTTGGAGGTGCTTGCCTTTCTGAATTAGCCGCATGTATGTATCCTGATCTGGGATGAGTGGCGGGGGCCAGCAGGTGACTGGTTTCCGAGGCTGACCCTTTACTGGTGCTTCAAGGCACTACTGGCAAGGGCCTGTGAGCCCAGATGCCTCTTTGCTCCGGGCGCTCAGGAGGCCCCTGGCCTCGTGGGAGCAGCAGGGGGAGAGGACCTGGCTAGGGGGTCTGTGGCTTAAATGGTGATGGGCCGGGAGGCTGCTAGTGCTGGGCGCTCTTTGGCAAAACCGGAAGGGTATGGACCTACGAGGAACCTTTTGAGAAGTTAGAACTCTAAGCAGAAAGAGCATAGGCATTTGTCTGGTGTCGGCATAGGCTCGCAGACTCTTAGATGCTTTAAAATAAATTTCGGACCAAGTTTTAAGACACCTCTTATTAAGAGTGTACCCTGCTGGTTGGGGACATTTCCAGAATGAGAGCAGTGACTGACGAGAGAGGGGCTAGGGCAGCGAGGGTCTGGAAAATTTGTTTTGGCTGGGCCCGTGCGGAAACCAGGGAGGTAGAGTATGGAGGAAGGGAAGATGTGATATGAACAGTTTGGGAGAAAATAGTGGGCGTTGGTCTAAGGGGCAGAACCAGGCATGGTGGGTGGAAGTTATAGGACGGGCAGTTTGCGGTCAGTGTCAAGAAAAAAAATTCAGTGGCGCGGAGCAGCCTCCTGCGGCGGCCGTGGGATCTCCTGTCCGGGGGTGCGTTCCAGCTGAGAGCGAGCTGACGGCGAGTGGGCGAGTGGGCTGACGTGCCCTCGCTCTGGAGCTGAGACCCGTCGGTGCTGTCTCCCTGCCTAACACGGTCGGTGTTAGAGAGCCGGCCTTTGTCACGCCGTTGTGCGAGACTCCATGTTTCTTGGGGCGATAGGCGTCCATCTGGGACACGGTGTAAGTGCAGAAGAGGCCAGCGCTATGCAAATCCTGGGACATTTCTGGATGTAATGGCACTTTCTCTTCCCACAGGCCAATGGCCGTGTGTCTCAGGACCAAGGAGAACCCGTCTACCCGGAGGGCACAGCCAGGGCACCTGCTGAGGACGAGACCCAGGTGGGCCTCCTTCGGGTCTGTGCTTTGCCGCGGCTCTCCCGTGGCTCTCCCGCGGGCGTTCTTCTGCTTTTACTGGGGGCCTCTCGGCGGACTCGGAAGTGGAGAGCGAAGGGCCAGTCTGTGATGATAGTCGGCGGGGGGTTCAGTGTTAGTATTTTTCCGAAGTTCCTAGCGCGTCTGTGGATTGGGGGGTCACAGTGCTTGCTGGCAGCCCCGTGGCCCTTCAGTTTCCAGTCTCGAGACTTCCCGAGAGCTGCTGGGGGCAGGCTCCTGGTGCTGCTGTGCAGATCTTGCTGTTCTGCTGCTTCTGGCCACGGTAGCCGTTGTTGAGGGAGGAGGTCAGACAATCAGGAAGAGGGATAAGAGGGAGTTCAGGCCTCAGTCCTGGTGGCGCCAGTGCAGCTGCGGTCAAGGTTACCTGTAGGAGAGTGCATGCCCGGAGGTCCTCCTCTTCTGTGGGAAAGCAGAGCCTGGCACTGGGGAGAGAGAGGCCAGCGCCATGCTGCTGGCTTCTGCGCCGCCCCATTTATCTGCACAGGAACCCTGTGTGCTAGGACGGCTACCTCCCCTACTAGGGGGCGGGTGGGCTCACGGAGGGGAGCACCTTGGCCGATATTTTGTAGTATTGATTAGTGGGGGAGTTGGGATTCCAAATTAGGGTCACCAGACTCAGATGGGGTCCCATTCTCGTACATCCACTGCTCGGTTTGCGGCTGGCTGTGCCTGAGCACGGAGCTCGGGCCAGGAAGAGACTGGGGCCCAGTGTGCAGTGCAGAGCACCGTGCCTGGCGCTCTCCCCGCCTCTTCCTACTTCTGGAGGTCAGTTCCCAAAAGCGTGCTGTGGGGAGTGCTCTGGGTGCTTGGCGAGAGAGTGGGGGGCGTTGAGGGCTGAGCCCACCAATCTCGCCTTTGCCTTTACAGTCCATCGACTCAGAGGACAGCTTTGTCCCGGGCCGGAGAGCTTCTCTGTCTGACTTGACCCACCTGGAAGACATTGAAGGTCTGACTGTGCGGCAGCTGAAAGAGATCCTGGCTCGCAACTTTGTCAACTACAAGGGCTGCTGTGAGAAGTGGGAGCTGATGGAGAGGGTGACGCGGCTGTACAAGGATCAGAAGGGCCTCCAGCACCTGGGTGAGGGGCCGTCTGGGCGGCGGCGGCACAGGGCCCCAGAGCGCTGGTGCTCACTCTCACGCGCGACAGCATCTTCCAAGGGAGGAGTTGCCTTGCACACTTGCACCATCTAGTAACAGCTGTCATTTAGAGTTGAGTGCCAGGACTGGGGTGGGCATTGCACACTTTTATTTAATCCTCAAGCAGCCTGTAAAGTAGGCGTTAGTCCCCCTCTTCCATTATAGAACCCAGATTTGAGGAGTTCCTGGTCTGAGTTCAAGGCCTTTCCCACTGCATGTCACCGCTCACCGTGCTCACCACGGCCTACAACAGGCCTGAAACAGTTGGGAGATTAGGAAGCGAATCTTTGCACACATTGTATGAGGAGAGTATCTGTTAGGCCAGCACTTGGGCTTCTCCTTTTATTCATTTCCTAAAGCAGTCAACATGGTATCATTTTCAGGTAATGCCCAGTAAACTCTCTAGGTCTGTAGTCAAAAGAGTTTGGGGAAAACTACTTCATATTATGTTCCCCTGTTACTGATTTACAGCAGACACTGTACTAGTAAAGGCAGAAAGTCCTGCAGAAGAGAAAGGTGTTCAGCTGTTTTGAACTCCAAATTCCCTAAATGAGTTCACTCGGAGCCCCTTCCCTTCCTTTCTGGCTGAGTGGCCACTCTGGGCGACGCTCAGGTTCCTTGCAGGCTCACAGGACAAGTCGGGGGTCCGCCTCCCAGCAGCTCAGAGTCATCAGACTTAGGGGATGTCCCACCATCACCTGGTGAGACCCACTCTTCCCTTTGGGTTGTCCCCAGAGTCTCCCTAGCGTTGTGAGCACGTAGGGAACAGCAGATGGCTCCTCCTGGGCACTTTGCCCAGATGCTGGCTGACCGGGACACTCCTTCTGCCTTCACTGTCACGCGAGCCTTAGGGCTCCGTGCACGTTACCCTGCTTGGCAGCCCACTGTTCACCCAAACCAGTGGGATCCCTTTTCCAGAACTAGACCGGGGCCCCGGTGGGGGCGGCCTGAGTTCTCAGCGTGGGGAGTGAGTGAGGGGGGCAGGTGTCTCTCCGGGCTCTCGGCCATCCTGGCTCCCAGCAGGGAAGCGGTCAGAGGCCAGAAATGAAGTCAGGTGGCTGGAGACGTGCCTCCTACCGTCACAGAGTGAGACGTCTTTTTTTCTTTCCTTTTCAGTGAGTGGTGCCGAAGACCAAGATGGTACGTATTTGTTCCTGTTTGGGGAGAGGCTTAGGCTCTTAGCTTTCTGTCCTTCCCTCCTTCAGCCCCAGTTCACAGTCTCAGAATTCTGAGCGTACCAGCATCCCCATGGAGGGTGTGGAGGAAAGTTCACTGAGAACCAGGCCTTTAGCATCTTTAGAAACCCTCACTCTCCCGTCCCTGGGAAGGGAGAGAAGGGGTGGCGTACCCGTGGGCAGGCTGGCTCGCGCATTGTTGGGTCGCCTGTGCTCCAAAGCCAGCGCCTGTAGCATGTTTAACAAAGCGAGTGGTGGCATGTGTCCCATTTGGTTCCTTTTTCATATCCTGGTGCTAAGGCACTCCCCCGCAGTTCTCACTCACTCCTGGCCCGTGCGAACCTTCAGGGAAATCACTCAGGACTTTTAACAGCTTGTGAAGCCAACCACAAGGAGAGGGCAGTGTCTTGGGAGAGCCTTGTTTGTACAAGGCCGGGCAGTGTCTGGAGCTGCTCCTGAGACAGATGAGGAAAGGTGCCCCACCTGGTGCTCTCTTGGCACAAGAGGCGTACTCCCCGCAGCTGCCACACCCCTACCTGTGTGTGAAAGACCTGCCCTGAGCCTTTGGGCCCTCCCAGAAAGCACTGCGGGAATTGAACTGGGCCTGGGTGCATTCCGAAGTGCGGTGCTAGCCCTTTTTGACAGCCTCAAGGCTCTATGGTTATGAGCTCTCCCCCAAGAGAGAACCTTCTGAGTAGTGCAGGAGCCTGCAAAACATTTTAAAACTTACAAGAGACTCTCCAAATTTGTTATTTAGTAAGTGGCCTTTTGCTCAGAATGGGATAGACTCTTCTGGCTGACAAATTGTCAAGACTTGAGTTCCTTTCAGTTCCCCCAGACCCTTTGGAGTTCTAGGTGCACCCCTCACCACGACGCCAAGATCACACTCACCCCTTGGTGCCTTCCTTTCTTTCTCTGACTCCCTGGGAGAATGCTGGCACCTGAGTCAATGAGTTTACGGTTGTTCCTGAGAGAAGTAATCACTAAGGAACTTCTGTAAATTACTCCTGCTCACTTTAGGTATTTGTATAGTTCAGCCCTTTCCAAACCTTCTCTGCTAGGGGTGAACTATACAAATAGTTCCCCTTCTCCTTAAAGGGGTGAGTAGGTTTTAGGACCTTCCACAGCCAGCCCGCCTCAGGTGTTTCCCGAGGGTTTGAATAGTCCCAGAAACAGGAGAAGAACGTGCACAGAGAACTCCCCTGGGCGACGGTGCGGTGACCGGCCAGCCCGGCTCCCTGTGCGTGGCCGCCTGGTCAGGCTGCCATTGAAAACGTGCCAGCTGCGGTGGCGGGGTTCTCACAGGAAGGGCTGCAGCTCAGTGAGGGTGCTGGCCGCGCCCACTGAGTCTCACCTCAGACCGGACGGCGGGCTGCGGCCACGGAGCCTGTGCACTGAGACCGTGATGCTGTCTGGACAGTCCTGCCCTCAGGCCCCATGCCCACGGAGCCCCCCGCCCGGATTTGAATCCTGGCTTCCCTGCCTAGCAGCCGAGTGCCTTAGGCAACTCTTTGGCCTCGGTTGCCCCATTTATAAAATGAGTAGTAAGAGCAGTAATACACAGCTTTTGTGAGGATTCAATGAGTTAAAATATGCAAAGCTCCGAGGACCTGCCTGGCACCTGTAAGCACTCAGTGAGTGTGAGCTGTCACATTCCCTCCGGAGCTGTTTGTTTGTTAGACATTTAGAGAACACCTACCACGTGGCTGGTGTTTCAGGGACTCCGTGATGAATATCTGACCTCAGAGCACATAGGAGATGCTAAGTATATAACTGTAGAAATTGAATGAATTTGTTGAATTAAGGAACTCATAGTATAGGGGGGAGGCAAACTCAAAAATCCGTCACCCAGTGTGGCGAGCAGTCCCGGGTGCGGGTTTAGTTCTCTGGCGGCAGCGCGGAGCGGGGAGCTGTGCGACCTTCGTTGGGCTCGCCCACCAGGAAGTTTCTGAGGAAGCGCGGGGGGGTGAGGGTGGGGTAGCACAGGAGGCCCCCCATCCTTGGCTTTATTAGATTGGAGATAAGTTCACAGATAAGCCTTGCAGTCCTTAATCACTCATTATTACGGTTCCATTTATATCTAAACTTTTCTGAACTGTTTTTATCTTTTCAGCGTGTTCTGCCTCAGGGGATAATGCGTCCCTAAGTGCCATTCACTTAACATATTACAGAATCAGTTGTCTGAAAATTATTTCTTTTAAGCTTTGAAGACTTTCCCTTATTGAGCTCTCATATTCTGAGATGTATTTGATCTACCCGCACTTTGTTCTGCAAGCCTGTAACCTGACCTGTAGCAGAGCAAACAGGCAGTGGCTCCCAGGGCACATTTCCTTGGCGTGCTAGTCAGGGAGCAGTACGGGGACGGGGGTTTGTTCTCAGTGTCCCCGTTCTCCCCCGCCTCCGTCCCCTCACACGGCCCCTCTCCTGCCTGTGTGTGTGCAGGGGGACCGATGCCGCCCAGCCTGGAGGAGAACCTGTGTCGGATCTGCATGGACTCCCCCATTGACTGCGTCCTGCTGGAGTGTGGCCATATGGTAACCTGCACCAAGTGTGGCAAGCGCATGAACGAGTGTCCCATCTGCCGGCAGTACGTGATCCGAGCCGTGCACGTCTTCCGGTCCTGAGGGCTTGGAGCCGGCTTCTTCAGTGCCTTACGGGACACAGTGTGAGGTGTCTGGGCTCAGGGTTGGCCAGCTTGCCGAGGGGCAGGCTGACAGCAGTATCTGCTGTGTTCTCAAGACCAGGTCAAGCGAAGAGGCTGTGCCGCATCTGGGTACCCGTCTTGCCCCGGAGGTGCGCCTCGTGGCTGGCAGACCCCGGGGCGGTGAGAACCTTCAGAGATCGCTGGGACTCTTTCAACGATCTTTAGTGATGATGGTAACTGATGAAGAGCGAGGACTTTCCAGAACGTGGATCACATCATTCTCCCTCACTCCCGTACCCCGCCCAGCCCCCTGCGCTGCTTGCCTGTTTCACCCATCAGAAATCCTGGTAGAAATGGTTCTCTTCCTTCCCAGCACATTTGGATTTATTTCTGGTTTCACTGGCTTTCTGTGCTTTAACTGGCCTTTGCTAAGGTTTCTTGCTGTATCGCCTAAAATCCATTTGTTTCTTCAGACCAAAAAGATGTTAGCTTCCCAGACCAATAATGATCCTCCTTAGGACAGAATTTGGACCAGTCAATTTATCTCTGGTGAGACATGAAACACAATGCTATTCAAAGGCATTAAGAGTTGCTTCTTTAGTGCTGGGATGAGAAGCTATCAGTCTCCTAACCTGACCTTGGAAGCCAACAAAGTGTCTGGTTCCCAACTGCTGGGGAGTTTCAGTGTCTGTGTGTGAGAGATGGTGCAGGGATCCTCTCTGCTTATCCTCTGGGGGCCTCACTTAGCGCCTTAATTTTAGTTTATGAGAAAGGGAAAAGTGTATGGAAGCAGTGGCTTTTTGCTTAACTTTGACTTCTCCGACAGGAATTTTTAAACCACCTTCCCCTGAGAATGAAGTCCCTCTCTTTCCTACAGAGGTGTAGACATGGTCTCACTCAAGGCATGGGGACTGACTTAGGCAAAGAACCTGGCTCTCCTCCAGCCAGACTTCTCCTAGGTTCTCAGACACCAGCGCGTAAGAGACACAGAGCACCTAAGAGGCCTCGGAAGGGGCTAAATGAGGCGGTGTCCGCCCTCGAGCAGGCAGCTGGCAGTCTTCGCTCCCCAGGTCGGTGGGGACTCCTACCCTGTTCCCTTTCTCAGCCTACTGATTTGGGGAGAGGTGAGGGAGACCCATTCTCCAGGCTCTTTAGGAGGGATCATGCAACCAGGAGGTCATGTTCCCGAGCCCTCTTTGGGTCCTTCCCTGCCCCAGAAGAGCCAGAGGGCTGAAGAAAAGCTGGCCGGGGCAGCTGGGCCGAGCACAGACTTACATGCTGTCACAGGAGCTGCTTGCGCCGCTATCACCGGTGGCCGGACTATGCCAACCCTGAACCCCCAGGGCCCTTGGCAGGGCCCCCACCCCCTTGCCCCCCGCCCCGTGCAGCCAGGATAACCAATCATGACTCTGGAAAGCAGCGGGAGAACCTCTAAGAGGACCCGTTTGTTGGTGCAGACGTACTTAGGCTTTCCCTCCATCACCAAGTACTAGTCTCCCTTTGGGGAAACTGAATTTCATCAAGTATGTGCCAGCTAACACTGGGCCACTTACCTCCACATCATACCGAGTCCTGGATGATTTGATTCCTTTGTAAGAACTGGGAGAATCAAGATGTCCCTGTGAAGACACGTTTCTGCTGGACAGTCAGTGCTATAGTTTACAGTGCCTACCAGTTTAGCAAAGGATTCAGCTACTCCTCAGTTCCACTGTGAAACAGGTCTGTGTATATGCACCTCAGTTAGGATGTAGCAGTAACTTCAGGGTAGAAGCTGGCTCTCTTCCTACTTAAAATTGCTTTCTCTGCTGAGGCCTTATCTCTCCCTACTTCCTAATTTCCCTCCTAGATGAGTTAAAAGAAATACCCTAATGGTTGGTTAGTAACCTCGGTAAGAATTAGAACTAATATCATTTACTCATTTTGGAGAAAGAGCAGGACCTTAAGTCTTCTAACCCCTCTTGATGAAGGTTTTCATTGAAGAAAAAAGGTGTTAAGCAACCCTGTTTTGTTTTGTTTTCCCTATCTTCTTTAATACACCAAAAAGAAAAAAGAAAAAAAAGGTTGGAAATTTCAAGATCTCATTTCAGTTACTATCTACGTAGATAGAAAACTTGATTTTTATCCTTGACTGCTCCTTCCTGCCCCTCACGGGTCCTTGGTCTTTATTATCATGGAAACATCTAATGCCTCTCATTATTGCCTGGCTTTTGCTGTGATTGTCCAGAAACTTCAGTTGAAGACTTTTTTAAAAAGGCTTGGAGAGCTGTTTTATAATGTTGGAATACTTGGATCAAACTGGTAAGAATGAGCTGTACAGGAATTAGTACTCAATATATATTGTATAAATTTGTTGAAATACTTCAGATGTGAATGTGTTGCTTCAAGTGGCTTATATTGATTCTCTCAGACTTACCTGGGTGTTGAAACAAACCCAAATGTGTATTTTTTTGTCACAGCTCTGCTTTATAATTTTGTAATAAAGTTTCAGTGTAGATGCCTTCTGATCTAGCGTGAGGTTGCCAGAGGTCTGATGGTTCAGAGAGTTGATAAACCGCAGGTTAAACCCAGGCGTGTGCGCACAGCGGTGCTCTTGAGAGACTTATTTGTAGGGATGCTTGGGTCACGTCCCGTGGCTTTGGTCACGATGGCCCTGTTTAGCAGAGGAGGAAATGGAAGCTGTGTTGCGATTTAGGATCTCCCTAGTATGTGGGAGAGGCCGTGCAACAGCCTGGATGAGGATGGGAACTGGGTTGAAAAGGGCCTAATTGTAAGACCAAATAGGAAGCAGCACTGAGTGGGGTCAGGCGGGGTCAGGCAGGGACAGGGACGTGGTGAGACGGGCCTTGAAGATGTACGTAGAAAGGAGTCTGGGGATAGACAGCCAGTGGCCCTGAGAGGGATGGTCGCGTTTGGCTACGGCTGTGGTGGCTGACGCGCGGCCCCGCTGTGGCCTGTGTGCACCTCCTGTCAAGTGGCCCAAGGAGGGGACGCCCAGGAGCGCAGCCTTTGGGGGGCTGCATACCCTGCAGATCTGCCCCTTGGCTGAGGAGAGGCTTGTTCAAAGTGCGCACGGGCTCCACGCCGAGCCACAGCTCTTTGTCCTCATTGTTCTGGGCCGCTGACCTGTTGAGCGCCCAGGGTGACCTGCTGCTGCCAAGCAACAGCTTAACAAAAGCTCAAGTTCTGTGGAAATACACTGGTGAGTACAAAATTGTATATACAGCATAACCTCAGCAGCCAAGGAAATCGTGTGTCAGACTGGAAGGAAATAGGCAAGACACCTTGAGCAGCCAAGTGAAGGTAGCAGTTGGCAAGGCAAGACCTTGGCTGGGAGGCTGCAGTAAGGACAGGCGGGGCTGGAGGACAGTCAGTGTCCCGTGGCAGGACATGGTGCAGGGGAGCCTTGTTCTGCTCCTCTGCCCAGTTGCGTGCCCTTAGGAGGCTGGAGGAGGTGGAACTTTATGTAGGTCAGTGCTCAGCGAGGAGCAGCTTTTGTCTCCATTGACGGTAGAAGAAAAAAGGTGTATTATTCTCAATACTGAAGCCAGACTGAATGGTGCCTATTCAAACCACCCCATGTTCAGAGCTGGAGACAGGGCAGTGCCTCCCCCTCCGCCCCTTCCCCCCAACACGTTTTAGGCCACAGGTGGAAACCCAGGCCCGCCAGGTTACAGCAGGCCTCCACGCGGACTGGCGGGCCGCCCTGGCAGAGCGTGCGGCCTTAGTTGAGCGCCAGAGGAGGGCCGGCAGGAGGCAGCCGTCCTCGGCCTTACAGGCCCAGGCACTGGAGCTGGGGCGCCAGGGGCTGAGTCACGCTCGCCCTGCTCACAGGGAGGACACACAGCCTGCCAGTCTGTTGACGAGAAGACGGAACTGACCCCCGGGAGTCAGTGGGCCTGAGAACACAGGAGCCGGTGTCTGCCCCGAAGAGCCTGCCTCCAGACCAGCGTGCTGGAGGCTGCGGGGGCGCCCGGCAGTCCCTGATGGAGGCCAGGCCTCTCCCTGGGGTGGGGTCTGAACACGCATGCCATCGTTGACTTTCCCAACTCAGGCTTGGCAGTGCTAAGTACTTTCTAGAACTTACCTTGAATTCACTTAGGCTTTGCTGCAACCCTGTGATTTAGGTGCGATTCCTACCCCCATTCTGTTTGGAGAAACAGGCTTAGATGTCAAGTGGTGACCTGTGTAGAGTTACAGCTATTAGATTTCAGGACTTGGATTTGAACCAGGTCTGCCTTCACTGCTCAATGCAGCAGTCACACGGGACCGCTTAAATTTGAGTGAGGATGACAACTTCAGGCCCTGAGGTGTGCTAGCCACGTTCCAAAGGCTCAGCAGCTGGACGCAGTCAGCTGGCACCACAGGATGGACAGGTTCTTCCCATTGCCGCAAAAACTTCTATTGAACAGCACTCATCTGCACTAAATTGTTTTCCTTTTATTCAACTAAATCAGCCTCGGGTGGCAAAGGAAGGAGCCTTTCTTTGTAAGCCGACTATGCAGATTCACCTGCAGTCTTACTTCCAGAGTTTCGGGGAGGCGGGTCCTCCCTGCGCCTTGCATCCCCCAGAGCAGCGGCCCAAATGGCCCCCCTTGCCCAGCTGATCCGGGGCTGCACCATCACAGCAACCCCACCCCCCGCGACAGGAGCGTGCAGACGGTCACACCACGCAGTTCGTGCTTCGGATGAGGCTTCGTTCCTGGGCAGAAGGGCCCGGCTTAGCATGAGTGTTGCCGAACACGAGCAGCGTTCTGAGGGAGGGGAGCCTCTGAAATACAACTTTAAAATGAGCCTGGACGTAAAAGGGGCAGGCAAGGGGGGCAGGAGACGGCCACTGGGCTTGGCTTTGGGGACAGACCCCAGCCCTCACTTCACTCCTTAATCACTAGGGAACTTACAGGAGGTGGAGCAGGGTGGGGAGGACTGGGATAACTGCAAGATACTTTATTTAAAAAAAGGAATAAAAGCTTATTTTTAAAGAAAACAAAAAGATGACAAAACCAGCACCCAGATCGATACAAACCAGCAGGAGGAAATGGCTTCAGTAGCGGGGCCCAGAGCACCTGGCTCCCGGCTGCAGGAGACCGCGCGGGCGGGGGTTTGGAAGACACACTGCTTGGAGGAGAGTTGGTCCCCACCCGGCGCTCTGCCCCAGCCGCTGCCCGAGGTAGGAACGGGTGGGCCATGAGGACGCGGGAAGGCAGCAGCCCTAGCAGGGAGCTACCAGTCTCCGTTTCCGGATGCATGCCCAGATCCACTCGGGGGAGACCTGCTGGGCCTCAGGGTTCTTGTCCCTGCTACCCAGCACATGTGTGGCTGAGGCCATGTCAAATTCCTGTACCAGGTCCCCATCGAATGCCACAAAGTAGCGTCTGAGACGGCTGAAGTCTGGGGTGGAGGGCGGCAGGTAGAGCCGCACCCCCGTGAAGATGTCCAGCAGCACCTGTGAACGCACAGGGTCGGGGTGGCGTCAGAAGTGGGGCCGCTTCAGGGCTGGGGGCAGCTGGTCTCCAGGGAGGTGAGCATAGGCCAGAGAGCAGGATTAGAGCAAGAGCCGGAGACATGGAGCCTGGCTGGCTGGCAGGGCACGAGTGCAGTTCCGTGGAGAAGAGGCGCAGGCTTACAAAGCCACACCCTCCAGCTACTTCAGATCCCACAGGATGGACTCTCCCTCCCGTCCCTGCCCAGAGGAAAGCGGGAGAGGGAGCGGGTCCCAGCACATGGGGAAGGGAAAAGGACACGTCTCCAAGAACTATTGGGCGCTGGAGGGCGGCAATGCTGCTCCGTCAAGCAGCCGCTTGTGCACAGAGTGGAGGGTGGGGAGGCCAGCCCATCACTGGACGGACTCCAGGGCCTCGGGCAGGGAGCGGGGGCCAAGGCTCTGCAGGCCTGCTGCGGACTCCGCTCAGGGCCCGAGCTGCAGGACCTCTGCGCTTACTCCTGGCCGGCGGGGCTGTGGGGAGGCATGACCGCACTTCACAGCCACCAAGTGTTTACTTCCCTATCTGCCCTTTGGCCATCAGCTCCCCCAGGATGGAGCCTGGTTACTGGCCTCCACAGGTGCTTGTTAGCTGTAGTCAAAGACGGACAAGGGAGTACAAAAGGGGAAAGGCTTCTCCGGAAGGGACAGTCAGTCACTCAGCCAATCCGTGCCCTGTCCCCATCCTCAGTCACTCAGCCAATCCGTGCCCTGTCCCCATCCTCGCTGGCTGGCCCTGCTCCCATGCTGAGCACAAACTCACACTGCTGCACTCCCACACCCGGACCGGGCTCTCTCCCCTTTAATGTAAATGGCGCCTTGGGTGGGCAGCTGGCCGGGTCCCTGGTCCCTGGTCCCTGCGGCCTCTCCCGGCCAGGCTGGGCTGTCTACCTCCTGCCTGCAGACCTGGCTCGCCTTCCTGTCTGCTCACTGGCCAGCCACCTCTGCAAAGGCAACGAAGAGGGCACAGGGTAGAGCCGCTGCAGGAGAGGCGGGGGGGCTTGGCCATTAGTCCCCCAAACACCTGGGCTCATCTCTCAAAATCCAAGGGCAGAGTGTGGGGAACATGAGAGCAAACCAGCCCCGGATGCACACCTATTCTTAGGCTCACCTTTGCTTGGCACGGGGCCTCATCTGAAGCCTTCCGCTTCTCTCCCACTCTCACAGGGGACGGCTTTGCAGTCAGCTGGTGGCCTGCAGGAGAGCGCGGGGTAAGCACCGAGGGCCAGGGGAGCTGACACCGGTCCCTGCAGCCCCGGCAGCCGGGGCAGCTCATCCCCAGGTCAGGGCGGGCCCTCCCGGGCCCCATCATCAGGGTCACTGAGCAGACGGAGGGCACCCCGCAGGATGGCCTCTGGTGCGTGGCTGGACACACAACGGGGAGGCGGGCAGCGTCAGCGGCATGGACAGAACCCGAGGGCCTGGGCGCTGGAAAGGGTGACCAGGTGCCCGTCCTTTGGTGTCTGCCCACACTGTGTGATCCCAGCGCCCCCTCCTTACCACCTGAGCTGCCGGGGTGACTCAGCTTCCCTCCTGCCTTCCTGGCACTGGTGGGGGGCTGCTGGGGAGAGGTTCTGGCCCCGTGAGACGCTGCAGGCCCTGAGCTGCCCCCGTTCTCTCCGCTGCTGCCCCCTGTAGGGGAGCTGCCCTCTTCGCCAGCTACCACCGTGAAGTCTGCCCTCTCCTTGGACAGCTGGTATAGCTCCTGCGGGGGGAGGGGAATGGCGGCTGTGTAGTCTGCCCTTCCCAGCCACCGGCCTCAGAGGCGGTCTGTGTAGTCTGTTTTAGGGTCGTGTGGCTGGGGAGCAAAAGGGGAAGAAAAATAAGAGAAGCTGGTTTCCTTGGCGCTTTTCTGAACTCAGGCCCTGCTTCCCTGCACAGTCGGTGCAGATGGCAGCGTGAGGCCCAGCCTCAAGTAGGACGTGTGAGAGCAGGAGCCCCCACTCTGGGACCCGGGAGCGGCGGGGCCTGAAGCCTGGGGCTGCTGCTCCCGGCCCTGCGGCCGTCTGGTCTCCCTAACTGTACTCCTTGCCCTGTCTCCGTGGAATGTGGAAAAGGAGAAGCTGGGACAGCGGGGTCGAGGACTCCTGCAGCTGGCACCTTGAGTTGGGGGAGGTTGGTGGCAGACTTCCAGTCCTTATCGTCCCGGATTCGGGTGCAGCGAGGGAACCGGATGGAGATGCCATCGGCCGTGTGAGCCTCGGATTTGGAGAACTCGGCCCCTGTGATCTCCCACACGGCGGCTTTCTGTCGGGAGAAAGGAGGTCACCGACTGGGTAAGCAGCAAACACCGCCCAACCAGCCTCGCTGTGGCTGCTGACGCTGGGCGCCCTTAGGGCAGCGCTGTCACTTCTCTGAGCCTCAGTTTCTCTTACTGCAAGAATGGAGTGAGCCAGGTCACTTCCAGGGCAGCCCCTCTGTGACTAGGGGCCGGCAGTCTCTTTCCCTCTGTACCGGAGATGACGCCTCAGTGCTGACTGGCCATCCCTGTGCCTGTCACTTGGCTGAACAATCCAGACCCCTGTCTCTGGGTGGACTATCAGTGAGGGTGAGATGGCATCACTGTGGCCCTAGAAAATGTTCAGGCCGAAGGACCGCAGGCCGCTGAGCTGGTACCTTTGGGTCTGGGACGATGAAGTCGGGATAGTAGATCTTGTTGATTTTCAGCCAGCTGGGTATCTTGCTGGGATCCTGGAGGGAAAAAAATGCTGTTGGGGGCTGTTTGTGAGCCAAAACCGGACTCAGACGCTTCCTTGGCGGTGGGGCTATGGGAAGCGGTGACTCGGCCCAGAAGGCTGCCCCTTCCCCCTCCCCGGGATCCTCCCTGCCCAGAGGGAGTAGCCTTGAGGGCGTGCGGCCCACTTTCCACAAGGTGGGCACTCGGAGACCTTGGAGGCCTAATGCTGCTCCCAAGGCCAAGCAGCAGCTCCCCTTTCTGTGGGGACACGAACGACACCTGCCGTCCCCACAGTGCAGCCTGTCTCAGTAATGACGGCCAGGCCGGGCCAGCCAGGCCCCTTCCTCACCTTGCTGATCTTCACCATGTCCAGCTCCTTCTGCAGGCGGGCCAGCGTCGCGTCGTCGTGGCCTCCCGAACACTTGGTGACCGTGCACCACTTCTGGCTGCTCGGGTCGTAGCAGCCCATGAGGAAGATGGACATCATGCCACCTGGGGGGATGGGCTGTTGTGGGTGGAGCCCCTCGCCAGCCCCACTGGCCAGTGAAGGGGGCAGCCTGCCATGAGCGAAGGGCCCGGCCGCGGCCTCCGAGTGCCAAAGCCCACCGCCCGGACCGCCCTCTCACTGGCTGGGTGTGTTTACCCGTTACGAGCCCCAATTCCCTCTTTAGTGAGTCAGGGATGGTCACGTGTGGTGTGCAGGGCTCCGGTGGCGAGCGCAGGGAACTGGACAGGGCCCGGCGCACAGCGGCTGCCTGAGGGGACCAGTGTCTCTGACCCCCGCCCTCCGGCCAGGAAGTGGAGATTCCCCGGAGCAGAAAGCTGCCGGGCCCTGGCTGGTTGGTGGCGAGTTGCTTTGTGTCAGGCTAGCACAGGGTGTTCCTGTCTGACCTCTCCCTGCCTGAGTCTTTAGCGCTCAGGTGTTGACGACTGCCTGAGGTGACACGGGCCAGGTTGGGGGCCCCTGATCGCAGAACTCCGGCTGTTGTGCCTGGCCTTGCTGGCAGATCGAGCCCGTAGAAAGGCCAGCCTGTACTCTCAGTGGTGCCTTTCAAAGAAGTATCATCCCAGGCGCCAGAGGCCACCCTGACCTTTGCTCCCTTGCCCGTAGAAGGCCCCAAGGACCACCAGGTCAGCTGTGTCGGCCATGGCCCCCTCGTTCAAATAGTCTTTCTTCACTTTCAGCCAGTGCCGCTTCCCAGGCTCATAGGTACCCTGTGGGGAAGCGAGAGAGAGACCCCGGACCAGAATGAAAACTCCGTGCAGGCGGGAGGTACGTCCTCACCAGCACACCGGGTCTTCCGTCGCGTCCACGCCGCACTAGGGAAGGGCCCTTGGGCTCCCGGCACCAAGGGGGACAAACACCAACCCATTCTCTAGGCCCAGCACAGAGCTGCCCAAACCCTGGAAAGATGCCCCCTTGGCGCCCATCCCCGAAACCTCAGGCCGCCACTGCCATCTCCTGGCCGGGGCTGGGAAGGCTCAGCGGGCCAGCTCGGCCCACGGGAGAGCGCAAAGGGCAGGACCATCTTACCTTCACATCCTTCAGCACCAGCCCTTCCAGCCCCTCTCGGATCACCCGGTTTATCATGTCGGCCAAGTCTGAAGCTTTCTGAGGGACAATGGGAGAGATGTTGAGGAGAGAGGGGCTGTGGACTCGAGAGGGTGCCTGCCATGGGAGGAAGGTGGGGGTGGTTCTTCTTCGCACACTAGTGAAATGCCCACTGCAAACACCTGACTGAATACAAGGGACGAGGGGCTTGCAAAGCAGGGACCCTCCCAACCAGAGAGCTGCTGTGGCTTTGAGGCACAGGGAGGCCCCCGAGGTGGGGCCTCGCAGCCCCCAGCAGTGAGTGAGGATGCTGCTGCCAGCGGGGTTTCACTCACTGTCACTCGCTTCATCTCTGAGAACATGATCCGGTTGGGAATTTCCACCATGTTATCATGAAGAAACTTCCGCCGCTCGCACAGAGGCCTAGGGGAACACGAGAGCTGAGGTCAGGCCGGGGTCCCTCTGCCCCCGTGAGGAATCCCCTAAGAGGCGAGGGACACAGGGAGGCACTGCTTCACGGAGGGTCTGCTGCGGCTTGGGGCCCGTGTCTACCCAGGGCCCTGTCCGCCCAGGGCTGCAAGGGCTCCGTCCTGACCGAAGACAGGCTGTGGCAGCGACAGCCGCTGCATCCCTGCAGCCCCCGTTCTCCGTCGCGGGCGCGTGGGGGCGCACCGCCAGCCCAGACTGTGAAGTGGCTCCAACTTGTCTGCTGCCCCTGACTCCCTGCCCCACCCCAGGCCCAAGGCTGGCTGGCACCTGGGTCAGCGGGCTTGTGGGTCTCAGGGCCCAAAACCCAGATCCCAGCTTCGACCCCCAAATTCCTTCTCCCCTCCACTTCCTTCCCTTCCACACTCCAGGGTCCGGGCCAGTGTGGGAGGGGTGGTGGCAGGACACACTTTCTCAGTGTGGAAGAGGCCAGCGCTTGTTTCTGGGGCCTAAGAACCTGGAGGTGGCTGGGTGAAGGCGCTAGTTTTCTGAGACGGTCCTGCCCATAGACCCCTACAGCCCTGGGCTTCCTGTTGTCGGCCGCTTCTGAGCTGAAAACCCTCTGCCTTATGTCCCGTGGGTGCTGTTGGAGAAATAAACTGAACCCCTACTGTGCTCACAGTCTATTTCTTGTCAGCAGCCCATTTTGCTGTGGCAGAAAAACTTGGCAGGGGGGAGGGGGAGGGGGTTGTGACTTAAGTTCTTAGAGGCGAGAGCCAGTCCCTGTATCTTCTCTTCCTTCGTCAACTGTGTGGCAAGTGTGCTACCTCTCAGTCCCTCCTGCCGCTGCCACTGCCCCTGCCCAGCTCCCGGGCACAAAGAGGAGTATGATCTAGTCCCTTCCCCATACTCTTTTCCAATCTGAACCCCCCACCTGCCCACCCAGGAACCAAAAATAGATTCCTCACCTGTCCATCAAGCTGACATCATTGAAGTAGATACAATCAAACACAAACAGACAGACATTAGCATCCTGGAAGGCAGCTTTCTGTAAGGGAAAAGGAGGCAGTAGGTACGTGAGGAAAAAAATGAGAGAGCATAAGAAATGGGTGACACCAGGCTACTTCTGGGGACCCTGAGGCACCTGGCAGGAAAGTCCCACTTGTGCTTCGAAGCCCCTGGTCCATAAGGGCTTTTAGCAGATGGTCCTGAATGGAAACCAACCCAATTACAGTTATTTCCCAATACTAGCTCCTTTTGATGCAAAAAACAAAAACACGTAAGCTCTGGGTTCATTCAAAAACAGTTCAGAAGTTAAGGATAAGCCCACCCCAAGTGTGTGATCGAGCCCTCCCCTCGCAGACCGACAGCACGCGCGCGTGCACGGAGGCACATGTGCGCTCGCACGTCTGCCCTGAGCCACTACCTTGTGCACGCCCAGAGTCCCGAAGGGCAGCGGTTTGCCTGTCTGGTTGTCGATCAGGAGCACCTCCGAGTCCAGGATCATGCTGTGGCCCCCAGGGAAAGCCTGAGGGATGTAGTCCTTAAAGTGGGCCACCTGCAGGCAGGGGGTCGCTCCGGTGAGGGAGAAGCGGGTAGCCGGCGCCTGAGGCCACGCCACGCCACAGAAGGCAGGCCCAGGCCCCAAAGGGACAAGGGACACCAACCCGCGGAAGCCCAGCTCCTGTGCAAACCGACCCAGGCCTTGCCGGCCACCTGGCCGAGCGGGACAGGGTGCATTTCAGAGCCATCCAAACCCAGAAGTGTCTGGCCCATGCTGAGGCCCTTTTGATGGGCTGCGGAGGAGAGTGTGGAGGAAAAGGAAGAAAGAGAGACCAGGTCGGGGCGGGCGGAGGCTGTGGGGAAAACAGACGGCGTGCAGGACGGGGAAGGAAGAGTGCGGCGCCTTGGGAGCAGCAAGGGGGCGTGAAGAGAGACGTCTCTGGGGGGAGCTCTGAACCCATAGCCATCTTCAAAGGGAGCAAGAAAGAATGTCTGGAATTGGGCTTTTCCTGACCAAGGCAGGGCGCCGGTCTCTGACAGTGCCAGACGGGAGAAGCCCGGCTGCAATCCATGGTGGCCCCCGCTCCGTGAGGCCAGCGATGGGTCCAGGAAGCAGGGCTGTGGTCCAGTCCTCCCCTGGGCAGGGCACACAGGCCACAAATACAGGTGACTCTCAGAGCGGGGACAGGGAAGGCCTGCACACACCCCTCTGCTCTGACCCCCTTAGGAGGCACGGCCGCAGGGGCAGTGAAACCCCAGCGAAGGAGGGCAGGGGAAGGGCTCGAGCTCTGCAGCGCTGCGCTCCGGCCCTGCCCTGGGCACGGGGTGCCCACTGAACCACCGTACCGGGAGCAGTTCCTCAGCAGCTGGGTTTTTTTGGGTTTTGTTTTTTAAAGATTTCGCTTATTTTTTTAGGGAGAGGGGAAGGGAAGGAGAAAGATGGAGAGAAACATCGATGTGCGGGAAAAGTGCTGATGGGTTACTTCTCGTATGCGCCCAGGCCGGGACGGAACCTGCAACCCAGACACGTGCCCTGGCGGGGGATCGAACCTGACCTACCGCTCTGCGGGCACGATGCCGACCCACTGAGCCGCACCGGCCAGGGCCCTCAGCAGCTCTGCTGCGCACCCGGAGCAACTGAGCCTGCACGAGTGCTGCACGGCGAGCCACTGCTCCGCTGTCCCCTGGGACAAAGAGCTGGGCTGCTCAGTGACCCAGCGGGAAGGCCAGGCCGAGGTAAGGGTGCGAGCCACACACCGCGACCTCTTCACCCCGGGGGGGTCTGAGCCAGAAACGAAGGGGTGGCAAGGACAGGAAGTCTGTATACTTCTGAGCTACTAGAGCCGGATGCTCCAGCTGCTTTTCCTTGATGACACCCCTCCCAGAGGCCCCAGGGGCTGAGGGTGCTAAGGAATGAGGTTCTTGATGCCCCAGTCAAGGGCAGGAGTCTGGGCTCCCAGATGCCCCCCAAGGGGCATGGGGCTTTGTTTACATCGGAGTGCGAGCTGATGGAGGACCAGAGCTTTGGTTCTTTTCTTTTTTACTGCCGCACTTGACAGGAAGCGTTGCTGTGCTCCGGGGCCCTGTGCCGACTGCCCCGGGCCTGGGCTCTTCAGCTGTGCCCGCTGAGCAAGCTGTCGCCACGGTGAGGGTCCGAGCACGAGGGAATGGGCTCACTCATTCTTCCAACTGACACAACACGGACCCTCATGTGCCAGAGCTGGAGGGGCTGTGGGACGCTGGCCCTGAGACCCTTCGAGGCGGGAGCGAAAGACTGTCCTGGCGGGAAGGAGGGGCCTTACCTTGTGAGGCAGGACAGGCTTGAGGCTGCGGCTGAAGTAGCTGAAGTGGTCCCCGCTCTTGTGCACCTGGACCCGCTCCCCGTCATACTTGATTTCAGAGAACATGCCGTTGGGACACTTCTTCATCGCGTACTCGATGGACTTGCAGGCCTCGGCCTTGGGGTGGGGAAAGAAAGCCTGGGCCTTTACGGGGGGCTCTTGCCAGGAGGGGCTGCTCAGCAGGGGCGGCCCAAGGGCCCCGGGCGCCCCCTCCGGGCGGGTCCCTGAGGAGCTTATGGGACGGGAAAAGGCAGGGCAGCGTCACGTCTGCAGCGGACACAGGAGCCTGCGTTCTGAGGGATGTGAATGCAGTTCATGGGAGAGCTAATGGAATCCCACTGAAAGTGCATCTCGTTTCCCCCCAGTAATTTAGGATCTTGCGGGGCCCCTGGCTTATTATTAAACATCCGGTTACCTCAGCACAGGAAGTACACAGAGTAAGATCACAGAGCGCAGGGGGCAGCAAGGCTGGCCGGGTGGCAGCGATCAGGGACGCGACCCAGGAGCACCTATCACATACCTGTGCCAACCTGACTCAAACACCGACGGCTCCCCTCTGGGGGCGCGCCTGTCAGATCGCACGCGCACTGTCCTTCCATCCTCAGTGGGGTATCTTACGGGACAGGGGTCGTTGTTCTCATTTTGGGAATGAGAAAACTCAAGTTCAAAGAGGTTAAGCACTCACTTCAGATTACACAGCTAGTTAAGGGCAGGAATGAGGTCTGAATCCAGGCCCAGCTCCAAAGGTTGTGCGGTGAACCCATGCCGCCCTTTCACTGACACTTTGTAGAAGAGACTCCAGAAAGAGTTCTTACAAAAGTCAGAAAGGCCACTAGTGCTGATGACCAGGGTCCTGTCCCCCAGAGGGACATCTTGCTATTTTGCCGGCTGTCCCACACTCCTAGGAAGGAGAGAACACTTCCCTACCCAAAACGTAAAACCCTAAACCAGGGCTTTGGTATCACACACAAAACAGCGTCATCAAAAGCACCGCAAGCCACTGGGACAACCCAGAGGCCACCCTCGTTGGCATGCGGCACAGGGGGCGAAAAACTGCCGCCAGGGGCCCGAGCTGACCCGGCAGCGCTGGTCCTCACTCTGTACGCTTCCTCTTTCCAGAAGAAAAGGACGCCCAAGTCACCCCGTCCCAGGAAGCCTGGCTCTGCCACCAACTCTCAGAGCTACTCTGGGACAGGAGTCACTTACACACCCACCTGTCTTCAGGAAAGATGACACAAAAGCCACTCCCGGTGGAAGCTTCAGAGGGTTTGGGGCCTCACCCACACAAGAACGCAGAACACTGAGGGGCTGGGGGACGCACCAGAACCCTACGGCTGGCCGGCGGCAGCGTGGGCCTAGGGTTCAGGGGTCTCCGCCTGACCGTGCTGGCTTCTCCTTCGCTTTTACCACCCGGGTGGGAAACACTAGCCACGTCTCCACTTCCTCCCCCAAACTCCTGCAACCACCTTGCAAGGGCCATCAGCCTTCAAGTCCTCCTGGGTCTCAGACGGGGGAGGGGATGCTTGGTGAGAAGGCAGGGCCGGAGCGGCACCCTTACCAGCATGGGCTGCACCGGGGTCATGAGCGTGGCCTCAACACTGAGTGTCCGCCTCCGGCCTGGCTCCTTCTCCACCTCCTGCTCATTGCGGAGGACGCGCTCCACCACGTCCTGCAGGTTGCGTGAGGCTTTGAAGGCTTCGTAGGCATTGGGGTCGAGGGCGTCTAGCCTGCCAGTGAGGATGGGAGCACAGAAACAAAAACCACTGCCTTCGACCTGCGGCTTTGGAGGGCGGTCTCCCTCACGGAGAGGAGCGGAGCTGGTACTTACACGTGTTTTGCACCTGAGTTCATCTTCAGATCATGTTTGATCAACCTGATGATACACTTCAGGTCGTTGGCTGTACACCTGGGGGACGGGGCGCCTTCAGCTCGGCCTCCAAAGAGCTCTGCGCCCCAAGCCTGCCTTCCCTGGTGACCCAGCCCGCCCCCCCAGCCCCTCCCGGCGGCGGCCCCACCTGGCGGCGATGCCCTGCAGGGCCTGCTGCTGCTCATCCTCCTTGCTGAGCGCAGAGAGCCGCACGAGGAAGGCGTCCACCTCCTGGAGCGTGAGGAGGCTCTTGGCGGCCGGGGGGAAAGACTTGCTCTGCTCAAAGAAGACCCTGATCGTCTCTGACACGTCGCCCTGTCTCCAGAAACCAACATGCACGGCTGCAGCCCCCCAGTGGCCAAGCGTCCCCCCAGCCCCCACGGCACGAATCAGAGAGCCCAATCGTTGCTCCTGTGCCCGGCTCAGACATACTGACCTTGCTGCTCAGAGAGTCTGTCCCACCCAGAGTCTGGAAAAGAGTAGCTCCACCCACCAAAGGACGCCTGCCTGCCTTAGCTGAAAAGTGGCACGAGGACTAACTCGGGGCTGAGACAATTTGCTTCCTGTTAGAATTGGAACTGAGAGGCAAATGTGATCCCCAGATAGTGGGGGCGCCCAGAGAAACACCTGCCACGGTGCCAGGGCTGCAGCCACGAGCAACTGAGATGACAAGGGAAAGAGCCATAAAAAACGGGCCAGAAAGGGCCCCAGGAGTGAAAGCAGGAAGTCTCCAATCCTGACCCTCGAGAGCTAGGCTTTCGTGGTTCTGCAGCGACATGATTTGAATCCTCAGAACCTTATGAAAGTAACAGCTGGAGCCTCGCCTTCAGCTCCACTCACAATGGAGGCCTGGTCAGATGGGTTTCACTTCCCTAAAACAGGTGCGCCCCACCCGGCAGAGAGACAGAGAGAGGGCAGGCGCTGGGCCTGGAGGCCTGGCCGGGCCACCACCCTCCCCTCCGCTGACCTGCTCTAGGTCTCGTGCCATATCATCCGGGTTGCAGTTAAAAATGCGGCTGAAAAGCTTCACAATCTGCTTATCATTCAAGTTGTAAACGCTCTTAATGACCCCTGGCAGCAGCAGCTTCACCGTTAGGTACACGTCACCGTGGAAACCATCTGGAGACAGAAGAAAGGAGCCCTTCTTGAGAAATGGAGCTTAAACAGATAAATGCAAAACTCAAGAAACCGAGCGAGAAGTCCCCACTGCGGCCTGCGTGGCCAGTGCCCCGCGCCATCACGGCAGCAGTAAAGGCTGGAGTGCTGGTTGGGGGTGCGTGTGTCTGCGCCCCGATTCAGCCCCTGGATGAACTCCCGCAGGGCAGGGCTGTGACTTTCCCCTCAGTGTTGCCAGTGACAAGCACATTGTAGATGTTCAACAGTGATTTGTTAGAGGAATGAAAGAAGCAGAGTTGGAGGAGTCTGTTCCAAGCTGTGCGTGTGATTCACGAGAACCTAATGAAACCTGCAGGACAGGGTCCTGGTCAAATGGGATAGGTTCCTCTGGCTTCCTGGGGGCAGGATAAGGGCAGAGGAAGAGAGATGCCAGTGTGCTTGGAGCAGAACTGGCTACACACTTTGGGGGTGCCCAGCACAAAACGAAAATGTGGGACTCTTTTCAAAAGTATTAAGAATTCCAAGCGAGCAATAGCAGAGCATTAAACCAAGCGCGGGGCTCCGTGCGACTGTACAGCCCACGTGCCCGGGAGTCCGGCTACGGCTCTGGGTGCTTCGGAGGAGAACTGCCCCCAAGGGCGCTCCAGGGCCCACCTCCTGCCGAGCCTTTCCGGAGGAAGTCCTGGATGATCTGGGTCTTGGTGTTGTAGCTCGGATTTTCAGCCACCATGGCGCACAGCTTCCGAAACTCACGGAGCAGGCAGTCCTTGTGCTTGGGGTCACATTTGCTTGAGGAGAGGCTTCTCTTAGGTGCAGGGCTGGGGCAGGCTTCCGCGGAGTTGTTGGGTTTGGCTGCTGGAGAGAGCAGAGAGGGAGAGAGAACCAGCAGAGATGGCTCATTTCGCCTTCCTGAGAAGGAAGGGACACTAGCAGGCACTCGGCGGGCGCTCTGCACGTAGCTCCACTTAATCCCCAAGATGGCCCTTTGGGACAGACACCTAACACACATTTATAGGTAAAGAAAGGAAGGTCTAGTGATTGCCCCAAATCTCCCAGCTCGGAGTGGTAAAGAGCGAGCGGCTCATGCCTGGGCAGAGGGCCAGGCGATGAGTGTCTCTGTCTGAGTGCGTCGCCGATGAGCACAGGCCCCCTTCGTGCCAAGACCGGGCGGGAGGGTCTCAGGGCAGCTGTAAAGCTGACCCCACAGAAGCTGGGATGCGGAAGGGGGAAGAAGTCAGAGGGCACGTTAGTCCACGCGAAATCACTGCTGTCGCAGACTGTCAGGGCTGGAGGAAGCCCCGATGATTACCCAGCCCCAGCTCTCGTCACCGGTGAGGAGCCCGAGGTCGGGGGAGCCATTCCCGGCCCCGCGCTGCTCCCAGCCACCTCCACCGTCCCCTTCTTTGCTTCCTTAAAGGCTGTCATCGAGCAGGGCTTTTACCCCCCCACATAACTGTGCAAGTCTTGCGTGACCCCCTCTTATGTCCTTGTGGCAATTTACAAAGCAAATTGCACTCTGCCAGCCTGCAGCCAAGTGCCCAGCAAGCAGGCTGCTGGAGGAGGCGGCTGCCCGCCTAGGCTTTGTAAATCCTTAATAACACTAAACGGGATGTCGGAGGACAGAATCGCCAAAGCACTGACGTTCAGCAGGCCGCATGAACCAGACCATCTGCTTCCCTCAGCTTCCCCCAAATTCCTTCCCCGGGGTCCTTCCAGAAACACGTTGTCCTGTTGTCGCCTCGACTCTGCTGTATTTCTAGCTTTAACCTACCATCAAGCAAACAAACAAAAACCCAAACCTCAGAACTTTAAATTACTAAGAACCCCATCGAGCCCTGCGCCATTCGGACCCCCGTATCTCCTCTGGTCTGGCGCGCACACTGCGGGATCGAGACGGTGGACGCTGCTCTTCCCGCTTCACCGCTGAGGCCGCAGGGGCTCGGGGGCGGAGCGACTTGCTCCCTGGACAAGCTGTCAGCCCCCGGGCTGGACCCAGGCCCAGGCCTCCTGGCCTCACGTCTAGGCGTCTTCCCCTCCCGGGAAGCCACCGCCCTACGCAACTGCCGAGTCCCTGTGTTCTGTCTCCATTCTCTTCACCTGAGTCAGGCACAGAACGTTTCCACATGAAGACCCATCAGGATGTGGGGCAAAAGGGCACAGGTGCTGGAGTTCCTAATGACCCCAAGAGACCCCAGTGTGAATACTAGTTCCATAATGAACCTGAACATCAACTTTCTTTCTCATTCATAAAAGAGACCTAATAAAAGTGCTTCCTAAGGTTAACGGAAGAACAAAGCTGCGCCTGTGAGCGCCCCGTCCTCGCCCGCTGCGTCTGTTACACAGGGCATCCGGGCGCCTGCCTTCTCCCCGGCTTTCATCGCCGTCGTGGGCCAGTCGAGGGATGCAATTTCTCAAAATTCTTCATCAGAAAAATCCCGAGGAAGTAAAGGGTCCGTTATAATAATCTGCCTGACCCAGGTAACTACTTCCAAGGGGAAAGTCTTGACAACGTGAACATCTTTTTGCTACAACAGAGACTGAAGTACACCAAGCGCCCTAGCCGGATGGCTCCGGTGGTTGGAATGTTGTCCTGTACACCAAAGGTTGTGGGTTCGATTCCCAGTCAGGGTGTGTACAAGAGGCAACTAAACAATGTCTGTCTGTCTTTTTCTCTCTCCATCCCCCTCTAAAATCAATCAAAACATTTCCTTGAGTGAGGATTTTTTTTAAAAGTATACCAAATAAAAATGCTATATAGGTGGAACATTGAGAATTCACCATTCTCTCTCTCTGCTCAGATGGAAGCAAATCATGAATGAGACTAGATCGCACAGAATTTTCACTCTTATCCACAGTCCCAAACAGGATACCAAATTAAAAGGAGGATCATCACAGCTAGAGCAGCCCTAGCCCATCTTACCTGAAAAGCCAGAAAATTTCCGGGCATTGGTGCGGGGGGCGGCTGAAGCACCCTTCCCTGGGGACGTCACCTGGCCGGTGGCGGTCAGCTTGGCCTGCACCACGGCTTTCTTCTTCGGTGTGCTCGGTGCCTTAGAAGACAGATCTGCGGGGCCCCAAAGAAAGGAAAATATCCTTCAGTGGGAGATTTCTGAGGAAGCTTCCTAAGGGTCTGTTGGCCGCTCCTACCGCCGTGCTTGGTACGTCAGCGCCCGGCTGCTGGCCAGGTGGAGGTGCCCGGTGATACGGTATCGGGAAGGAGAGTGTTCTGGGGACAAAGGACTCAGTCACCCTTTACTTCAATAGTAACTGCAATTTTCATCAACACTCTCTACCTCTTATCCCACATACAATAATCTCCAGATTATTTGGGGGAAATCAGAAATCACATCTCAGTAGGGAGAACTTGGGAACCCGGTGCCACAGAATCAGCCCCGGTTTATAGATGCAGGAGACAATGAAATGGGAATGGAAACGGGGCCTGGTGGTTTGGCACAGACAGGAGAGCTGCCAGCTGCTGAGTTACTTGAGCTACGGGACAGTTTAATGCTACCATGTATTTCCCTTCCTCTGAAAGAGACGGGTCAAGCAATAGCAAAGGCTGAGTCAACGGCCAAGGCGGGCAGGGCAGGCCGGAGAGCTTGAGGAAGGAATACACAAGAAGCAGTTTCCTCTCTGGGATGTCTTTTTCGTCTCAAGAAACAAGGATGGATGTCCATTTAGAGAGCCACTGCTGGAGTCCTCCCACAGTGACAAAAACTATGCTTAACCGAAGACATGACCCCTATTACCTTAAAGATGAGGACAGACACTGATGGTCATAAAGGACTAGGGGGATTTGGAAGTATCAGTATTTCTAAAATAGGCACACATGTAAATATGCCTGTATGTGTGCATGTACTATATATATCTGTATGTATGTATGTGCGTGTTGTGTTTCCTAGTTCTAGTCTGCTGAAAGGGCTTCCAAGCAACAACACCTCATGGCAAGGGGACACCAGCGCTTCGATTCTGGTCTCTGACGCCATCGCTCCCTGACAGGAACAGGGACTTCTCAGAGAAACGGCTGACGCCGGGGCAGGCACGGGAACGTGGAAGGTAAGCCCAAGAGCGTCCTGTTAGGCCGGGGAGTAAGGGAGAGCTTAATACACTTTCCAAAACAAGATGAGGGTATTATTCAGGACATGGAAAGCAGCTCAGAAGGTCTCCCAACTGGCCAGGTATGGGACATTCCAGCACTGACTTAATAAAGCACAGTAAAATCGTAAGCTGCCAGGAGAAAGAAGTCAACTATGAGTCCAAACAGACAACACACTGATAGACAAAATGTATCTATCAATAAATATTTTGTTCTTCAAAAGTGTCAATGTAATAAAAGAAAGACTATGGAAATATTCCAGAGGTCAAAGAGATATGACTAAATGAAATACCTGATTTTAATAGAGGGATTCTATGGTGGGAGTAAGGGGGCAGAAGGTTACAAAAGATACCATGTTATCAATGGAAAAAACTGGGATACAGATGCTAAAGTATAACGTCAAGAGTAAATTTACCGAAGTTGTTAGCTGTAGTGTGGTCACGTAAGAAAATATTCCTATTCTTAAAATATATACATTGAAGCATATAAAGGCAAAGCACCATGATATATACGACTTACTCTCAAATGGTTCAGGAAAAAAACTGCGTGTAAGGAGAGAGTAACAGAGCACATAGAAACCCAAATGGCAAAGCAAAGAGAGCGAAATGTTAACAAAAGCTGTACCTGGGTAAAGGGAATATAAGCATTCTTTGTACTATTTTTATTCTTGCAACTCTTTTGTGAGTTTAAAATTATTTCCAAATACAAAGGTAATAGAAAAAAGAAAGAAAAGCACTGAACTGAACTCTATATTCTCCTTATCCCTTTTTTCCTCAGCACCCGTAAGATGAGAGCGCGGAGCCCTCTGCCCTACCTGCAATGTGCTGGCTTATCTGCTCCTTCTCATTATCTTCCAGCTCTTCCCAGCCTTCCAGCTCCGTGAGGTCCTCAATTTTTTTCGTGGTGGCCCGGGCCCGCTCCAGTTTCTCAAACATGCACTTTATGTGGTACCACTCTTTCATGTCACCCCCAGCCTCTGAGAAGGGGTTGGGCACCACCTTGCCGATCCGGCACACGCCCTTCACAATCTTTTCCTTGCATTTTTTGCAGCCAGCTGTGCCTCGCTTTGCGTAGTCCACACAGAACCGTTGCTCGGCCATCTCGCAGGGCTCACCGCAGAGTCCCGCATGCGACCCTGGCAAGGGGACAAGGCTGGTGGCACGTGGTCTCAGAGGGCCTTTTTGGAATGACAGAATGGGCTTTCTTTTCTGGAGGAGGCCGCGCCCGTGAAGCCGATCTGCTTCTGACCAGTGGCTGAACGGCTTCGTGTCTGGCCAGAGGTGTTCTCGGAACAGGCTCGGTTCTTTTCGGCTGAGTGCACGGAGGGCTGGTGGGAGGAGGGTCTTCAAAGCCAAAGTCATGCAGCTGCACAGAAGAGCGAGAGGCAGAAAAGATGAGCTAGTAACCAGGAGCTAGGCTTTCAACGTCTTCCCAGGCCAAGGTCCTCTACAGTCCATGCTCCCTCATCAACACTTTCTAAAGGAGCGACGCTTTAATGCCTACAGACGAAGAGCTCCAACACAGGGAACTCCGGTTTGCAGGAGGGTGGTCAACGGCCTCGTGTACACAGGTATAATTAGTAAATCACAATCAAGAGAGTCCAAATCTCTAGCCAATCATTAAGGCTTTTCTCTGGCCATCGGCGATACCTGACACTCAGAATGAATGATGGCCCTTAAGTGTTACCAGACCTGATGTTCTTTTTAATCGCCAAGAAAAACATTATGTCCATGAAGCTTTTAATGGGAAGTGCACCTATATCCCATCCTTGGAAACTATTTGAGCCATCAAAAGCCCTATACTGAGAGACGTGACTTCTGATTTACCCCAAACCATCTGGAGAACCACACTGCGTGGGTTCAAATCCTGGCAGATTAGCTAGGTGACCTTGGTAGGTTACTTAACCTCTCCATTCCTCAACGTCCTCAGCTGTAAAATGTGGCTGACAACTCTAGGGCACTCAAGGGGTTGTCATTCTCAAGAGTAAAGCCTTTAGAACAGCGCTGGGCTCGCAGCAGAGGCTCAGTCGTTATTAGTCCTGACAGGGGGCGGAGCAGCCGTCCTTTCGGCAGAGGCTGAGCCTGTTTATAGTTCAGCAGCTTGAAGGGCTGAAATACCTGGAGGCCAAGGATCAAAGGAACTGATCAATCGATCCCAGGGGAAACAGGGGTAATTTTCTGAAGTAGCCTCACAGTTCTGATTTTACATATACTGGAAATTATTTCAGCCTGAACACCGCTTTGCGCGAAATTGCTGTTGGGTTACACATAATGAAAAGCAAACTTCCATCGGGGTAGTGCGACAGGATGCAGCGGGGAACAGGTGGAGGAGAATGAGGGATGGGAGTGCAGGGGGACCGTACAGTTTAGGGACTAAGTTATCTTTGAGGAATCCCTGAGTCTCAGTTTTCTTATTTCTAAAACCTCGCGGACTGGCTGGGGAAATTAAAATGAGTGCACGGATGGGCTGGTGTGATGTGTGTGTGGCTCTGAACGCCCTGAAAAATGTAGACAGAATGTGTGTATTCATAAGTGTACCTTTCCCCCCCTGGAGCGGTCTATGAGTTCCATGACATCTCACAAAGGGCTCTGCAACCCCCATGAGTTTAAGAACCACAGAGGTGAAGTACAGGAAAGTACGGCAGGCCCGTAACAGGCGCTCTCAACAAACTGGGGGCCACCGGTTTACAAGGCGGCCCCCAAGCCCACAGTGGAGGGAGCCGGCCTCCGGGCCCCGCGCTGGCCCGGGCCGCGAGGAAGCACAAGGCTGCTTTCAGGAAACCCGTGGGCCCCACAGCCCCCCGCGGCGGCCGCGCCGCTCTTCGGCAAAGGCAGTCGAGAAGGAAACCGTTGAGGCCTGAACGCAGCCCAGGCCGCCTCGGCTCAGTGAGCTGCACCGGGCCGGGAGGGGAAAGCCCTGCAGCCGCTTTTCCTGGAGGGCCTCCCGCGACGCTTTCGGGGCAGTGGGCAGGCAGGAGCTGCTAGCTGGGGGCGTACCCCCGGGCGCCGGGGCAGGGAAGCCAGTCTCCCGGACTGAGGACACAGCGCAGGACTGGGGAAAGGGACGCGACGGGAAGAGAAAGCCTCCAGTGCGTAGACCCCGCAGGGGCCAGAGCCGCCCCCGCGGGGCGATCCTCCATGGCGTGGACCCGTGGGGGTCCGAGGGAGCCCGGAGCCAGCCCCCACGGACTCCCGGGGGGCCTCCACGTCACGGAGGGTGTGCCCCGGAGCTCCGCGCGAGGGCGGGGGAGGAGCCGAGGGGGCTGGCTCCGGGGCCGCGCCAAGCCCCGGGGCCCCGGGCCTCCTTCCTCCCCACCGTCTGGACCGCCGCTCCGCTTCTCACCTGCCTTCCCGGCGCCGGCGCACCCCGCAGGCCTCCGACCTGGCGCCCTCAGGCCGAGATCACCACCCTTGTACTCTGTCTCTTTAAATCCGGGTCCTTGAGCCGGCTTCAGCGCGCAGGCGCAAAGGTCCTGGCTCAAGCTGCGCCACGCGTCCCCGCCCCCGTCCCCCGCCCTCCGCCTGCCACGTGGGCCTTGGTAAGGTTCGGACTAGTGAGGCCCTGGGCTGGGTGTTAGAAGGATGGGAGGGGGTAGGAGGGGATGGGACGGGGTGGGAGGGGGTGGGGGAAATGGTTCCACATCCCTGGTGGGGCCGGGGAAAGCAGCATTTACGGGGTGTGGTGGCGCTCGGGGGCGCAGCCTCACCTGAACTTCCAAGGGCTCCCTGTTTTGCCGACAGTGTGAGATTATCCGGTCCTTCAAGATGCTGGTTGGGAAACTGTATAGTAATGAGTTGAAGGCAACAATCACGTCATTCAACCTCCTTTTCTGTATGCTCTCCGTCGTGTTTGCGCACAGTGCCTAGCGCCTAACAAGTATTCTACAGATAATACTGAATTGAAAAGAGGCCCTAGATAGATACGAAATGTAAAGGCGTGATGGGGAGAGTAATCCCGATTGTGTGTCGTTTAAAGTGTATTAATCGGTTTCAAACCTCAAGCCAGCTTTTTGAAAGATTAGAATGGCCATTTTTGCAAATGCGTAGCAGGCTCAGAGGAGGTGAGTGAACTTGTTCGGGATCCAGGAAAAGCAAGCTACTGGGCATTGTTAGAGAGGGAAGCCAAGATGAGATCCCGGACGAGTTCTGTGTTGTGTGAAAAAGAGCTTGACCCTTTTACCCAGGGGATGGAGCGCCATGGAGAGTCTTCTAAAGTAGTAACTACTATTGAAGCTGCGTAGGAGAGACACTGAGGTAAAGAACTAATTAGGAAGTTCTTCGTGCTGGCTTTGGCAGCATGTACAAGTTGGAACAATACATAGAAGACCTGTGCAAGGATGACATGCAAATTCGTGAAGCGGTCCATAATTTTAAGGAAAAAATTCGTTATATCTGGAGGCTCAAATGCTAACTCTGGCAGTTGCATGATCCTCAAACTCTGTCACTGCATTTACTGTGTTGAGTTAAGGTGATGGATGCTAACTAACTAAACTTACTGCGGTAATTATTTCACAATTATGTAAGTCAAACCCTTATGCCGGACACCTTACACTTATGCAGTGATGTATTTCAGTTATATCTCCGTTGAACCTGGGGGAGCCAAGGTTCCTGTGAGCGCTGACGGTGGCCTGAGCAAACTCATTTAGTTGGTGTGGAGAGAAAGGTGCATTTTTGGATGACCATTTGGATTTTAAATTATCTTCTAGACACAGGGCTGACTTGCCTACAGGTGAAATGAGGGTAACCTGAGTGACTTGGGAGATAACAGTGCCATCCACTGAAACAGGAAATAAGAGGAGCAGAGGAGGCACTTCCGGTGAAAGGATGAGTTTTGATTTGGATATTTTGTTTGGCTGGTTGAGGCCCCCCCCCCCCCCGCGGGATTCCATTGTCCGAGGTGGGACAGGGCCTCTGATGCGTCACAGAAAGAACACGGTCTTGGGATCGGAAGGTCACTGGAGGCTCAAGTCCTGCCAGTGGCAGTTGAATGATCCTGGACGCGTCTCTGTTGGTGCATTTACTCTGGTGTTTTGAAAATCCCCGTGACTATCTCTTTCCCTAGCCCTGTGCTGTCAGATGCTGGGGTCACTAGCCGCACCTGGCGCCCGAGCTCTTGAAATGCGGCTCCTCCGAGTGGAGATGTACTGCGGGTGTGAGGTCCACACAGACTTCAAAGATGTGTTCCCACACCAAAAAGGCCTGCAGATTATCTCATCAATAATGGGTTTATTTCGATTGCACGTTGAAGTGATTATTTTGGATGTGTTGGGTTAAATAAAAATATATTATTAGAATTTATTTTCACTCTGTTTTTACCTTCTTGAAAACGTGGCGACTAGAACACGTAAAACGGCACCCTTTGCTCACATTATGCTTCTATTGGGCGGCACTGTCCTTTGGCTCCAGACTTGCCTCTGGAAAGTGATGTCTGTGTCTGAAGCACCTTCTTATCCTCAGCACCTAGATCAGAGCGGGGCACATAGTAGGCACCCAGCAAATATTTATGAATAAATGAATGAAACCCATGAGTGAGTGGGATGAATGAATGAAGCTCTGAAAGTGCTAAACTCCTTCAGAAGGATGTTCATTACATTGTATCTCTGACTGTGTTTGACATAAATGTGCCAAAAGACACACGTTCTAAATGTTTGTTCTGCTTGAGGAGATCTCCTACGAACCCAAATGATTGATCTCTTTTCCTCAGGTCCCTGTGGCAGAACGTAAGTAGCTGGCAGTTCCATTTCCATAGAGACGTGGGAACTGCCACCAAAGTGAACAAGCTAATGCGCGGTGGGAGTCGCCCAGACTTCGGTTTGAATCCCCATCCCCCACTGGCTATGTAACCTTCATCCGTTAACTTCTCTGGGTCTCGGCTTTCATGGTGAAATGGGAATCAAAATCTCTCTTAGGATTATGTGTGACAATGCAATGCGATGACTTACGTTAACTTACAAACTGCTTGGCACTTAGGAGTGTTTCCGTCAGTGCCCATCCCCGCTGCTCCCAGCCTGGATGCCTTCAGGCCACTGCAGAGTTTGCTCACTGGGGCGGTCATCGGTCAGTCAGTTATGTATTGAGTGCTTACTCTGTGTGAGGCACTCTAACGGGAATGGAGTACGGCAGTGAAACAAAGCACAAAAATCCCTGCCCTCGTGAACGCCACAGGTTAGTGTGGGAGGTAACAAAACAAACGGTAAGGGAAGTGCTTAGTGTGTAAGAGGAGGATGGGGGCCGTGGAGAAAAAGAGTGGAGGAGGATAGGAGGTCCCAGGTCGGGCAGGATGGGGTCGCAGTTTTAAATACAGTGGTCAGGAAGGCGTCACCAACAAGGCGACAAGTGAGTAAAGACTGGAAGGAATGAAGGGGAGAGCCACGTGGAGTTCTGGGGTAGAGGAAGCAGCAAGGAAAGGCCAGGATGTGTCTGTCTGTTGGGCGATAGCAGGGGTGTGGCTAGAATAGCAGGAGTCAAGGTTGGGAAAAGTTGGAGATGAGATCCGCACGGTATCTGAAGACAGATCCTGTGCGGTCTTGTTAACTACTGTAAAGGTGTTGGCCTTTATTGTAGGTGCAATGGGAAGCTAGTGGATTATGTTGAACAGAGAAGTAGCACGATTTGAATTACATTTTAACAGAACTGCTACCACTCCGGCTGCTGTGTAGAGAAATTGGGAGTGAGTTAGGTGGCTTCTGTAAAGATGCAGGGGAGAAATAAGGGCCACTTAGACGCTAACAGTCAAAGTAGTAAGAAATAACCTGAGGCTCATGGACCCCAGGGGATCTGTGGATAGGCCCTGGGGTGTCCTTGAACCTCCTGAAATTTTTATGTAAGTACTTGTGTGTAAGTGCATTTTCCAATGGAGAGTTTTATTGGATGGGGTCTCAAGATCCAAATCAAGAACTACCTTGGTGGCCAATAAGCTTGATGACCTCCTGCCACTTCCTAGCTATTCAAATTCCCCAGGTGGTTAAGTCCTTCCTTCAGACCTTGGTCCCAAATCCTCCAGGGCCCTGGTCCTGTTTGTGAGCCTGTCAGAGCTTCTGCCGTCCTTTTGGAGAATGTAGCCTGACCTGCCAGTGTAGACTTGTCAGGATTGTTTAAAAAAAAAAATCACAGGAAAATGGGTAGATTCTATTCTTATTTTAAAAAAAGGTTTATTGATTTTTAGAGAGAGGGAAGGGAGGGAGAATGAGGGAGAGAGGCATCAATGTGTGCAAGAAACATTGCCCAGTTGCCTCTTGCATGCTCCCAACTGGAGACCTGGCCTGCAACGCAGGCATGTGCCCTGACTGGGAATCGAACCGATGACCTTTCAGTTGCAGGTGCACGCTCAATCCACTGAGCCACACCAGTGAGGGCAGATTCTGTTTTTTTTTTTACGCTACTCACTGTAAAAGCTTGGCAGCCATAGGCAGGAATAGGAAAAAGTCTTCACACTTTCAGAGTGGCAACGTGGGGTACTTGTGAGGCTAGTTCACACCCTGTAGATTCCTTTACTTAATAAACTCTGGTCTACGAATCATGTAAAACTCAGCAGTGAGAGCTGGTTTTATGGTATGGTTTGCTTAATAGTCACACAATTAAAATAAGTTGTTAAAAACCAGTGATGGTGTTTGCAGGATAAATATTTGAAAAGGAGCAGCTGCAGCAAAGTGTAATCATTCAGATGAACCCATGGCATTTGTCATAAAGGCTGTGGAGGCTGCTGCTTAAGCAGAGGGGTTTTTCGGCCTCTCCTTTGAGTAGTTTGGTGCTGCGGCTGCCAGGTTGAAGTAGGACGGAGCAAAGAGGAGTCGAGTCAGTATACCTTCCGGAATAGCTGGCCCATGGCACAGGGATGGGCTTCTAGGGCAGGGTTGAGGTCACAGATAGGGAGTGAGAGAGACTCAAAGTTGCTACCATCTTTCCTCCATTTCTATGTTGGGTTTTCTGGTGTGAAGGCCTGGTGGTCCTATTTTTTAGAAGGCAAGTTAATAATTTTCAAAGGGCAAATGTATTTCACAAAGAGATGAGCCTGTTTGGGAAGCAAGCTTAAGTTCTGTCCCTTCCTCTGGACTCTGGGCTGGTTGATAGGTAGCACTGACGGCAGTTCGTTTTCTGGCTCTAATACGGGGGGCCGACGTTGCAGACCAGGTTGAACACTTCCTCTCCTGTTCTTCATGCCATTTCCTTTACACCAGGAAAGCCCTCACCCCCTCCCCTTGTCCGGGAGCTCCCACCCAAGCCCTCTTACTGGCGCCTCCCAGCCGGTAGTCCCCTGCTCCCCTCTCCTGCCTTGAGCTCCGGGCTTGGTCACTGTAAAGGGAAAACTCTCTCGTTTCCATTTCCAGTACACGCGACACCTCTGAACACTACTTAACTTCTCACACCAGCTGTGGGGGCTTTCTACACCAAGCAGCTCTGTGACAAGCTGGGCGTCCTACAATTCCATTCTGA